CAAACAGTCTGAAGCATCAACAGGTCTATCTTGTAATGATTGTCGAGAAATGCAGTCAACATGTTGAATTTCTTTGACATTTTGCTGAACTGTATAGTCAAAAGCACTCAAAGCAGTACCCCATCATTAAACCATAGCAGCTGAGGAACGTGTTAAAGATTCTTCAGGATGATAAATAAACCTTAATGCATCATAACCAGTAAAAATAGTGAATTCATTTCCAAATTAATATTTACGAAGTCTTTTTACGGCCCAAAACACAGACAATGCTTCCCTCTGAGTCTGTGAATAACCTTGTTCAATAACAGTAAGTTTGCGTGAAACACAGAAAACTGATCTACCTTCCTGCTCGAATACCCACAGGTGGTGCATCAGTAATGAGCACAGAATGTACACAAGAGGGGTAAGTTCGAAGAACAGCATCACTTTGAAGAAACGTTGGCAAACTTCGTAAGCATGACTCTGTTCCTCACCCCATTTGAATGAATTGGATGTCAAAATATTAAATAAACAATTTGCACGACAAGAAAAATCAGGAATAAAACAGAGTTAGTGTTGAAGGGCACCCACTAGTGGCGGTAGTTCCGCAAGATTTTTCGGAGACGGTGTATTTGTCAGTGGAGCTAGACGTTTTATATCTGCTTTAACATCATTACCATCAACCAGGTATTCAAGACTTTAAAACTAGAATAACAAAATGAACACTTATTTGGATTCACTATAATATTCTTCTTAAATAAACGGCTGAATAAAGCAACAAGTCTCTGGTCATGAACTACCTTGTCGGAACTATGTATAATGAGATCATTTTGATAACCTTCAACACCTTTAAGATCACTAACTACTATATTCATAACTTCCTGAAATATGGCTGGAGAACAACTTAGACCAAATGGAAGGAAATTGTATTTGAACAGATCAAAAGGAGTGTTAATTGTTGTCAAAACAGATGAAGAGTGATCTAAAGGAATTTGAAGATAAGCATCTTTTAGGTCAACTTTCGAGAACACTTTGGAACCATGAAGTCGATTTAGAACATCTTCAGCCTATACCGTCGCGCACGTTTGCATCATCAAACAGGATTTCAGTGTTAAACTACAGTCACCACATATTCTAGAGGTCTTGTCATCTGGCTTCAATGGCGTAGCAATAGGAGTGCCCCATGTTGAAGACTGAATCAGTTCAATTACATCTTTCGCACACAAATCTTTTAATGTCTTATGTACTGCTTCTCGAAGACCATAATGAATTTCTCGTCTTTTAAGAAAGACTGGATCACCCTGTACTTGAAGTTTTATAGGCTGAATTTTCATACCTCCACTGCACTTAGCTCACATAGCTATCAAATCTTTAAGGAAGCATCAGAATTTTCTTTAGAGACTAAGAAATAACAACTCCACTTTAAGCCTCTTCAAAGTCTTTGAAGCCAATAACGACAGTCCTTTTTCGCTAAGTAAAAATTCACAAGCTTTGTATGAAGAATTATCATCTCTTATTAGTAATTCACAACAACCTCGTATGGGCAGTCTGTGTCCAGTAATCCCCAATATTGATACTTCAGTGGGTCGCACCACAACGTTTGGATCTAAATATTTCAAGTTCTTGAATGAAATAATGGACTCTATACTGCCTGTGTCTACAATAATGTCATGAAAGGAATCGAAGGATATATAATCCCTTCTGAATATGAACATTACCTTTCGAAATGGTGGACAAAGACAAGTGATCATTAGGAACAGCCGAGTTATTGGGATTTAAATTATAAGATTTAGTACGACTTGAAGGAAAATGAACGGTAGTTTTGCATATCGACTGAATGTGTTCTATCTTATCACATCTAAAACATTTAGCATTAAGAAGTGCATATGAATTACGAGAATGAAATTTGCCAAAGGATTGTAGTGACTCACTTTTATCACGAGAATACGACTGGTTTAATGAGAACAATTATTATTATAACCAACTGTACCAGTGCTTGGTTTAGTGTGCTCTTTGTTTAACTGTGCCAATGAAAGCTATATTGTGCTTCCATTCTTATTCTCACACTTTGATTGTGACCTCGGTTACGCTCTGTAGCCAAGCTTATATCCTGGCACGATCTCGGTATTCTTTCGATACCACGAGATCGCCAGCAAATATATCTCGACTTGGTCCACTAACTGCCTTCTGATATTTGGCTTCCGGGGGGTTTTATGGATATCCTGATACGCGTTCCTTGGTAGCAGTGTTCATAGTCAACCGCGACTCGACACCACGCTACAGGATAAACATCTACTAAACTTGATCTCGCCTCTGTGGTTTGGTCTATAATTCCTTCTTGAGATACCATTCATATGTATACGAGAATAGGAATCATTATTAAACGAACGCAAGTTTGATTGACCCTGAGGTTGTATTTCATCATGACGACTAAGCAAAACAATAGAAATTTTCATCGACTGGATATCAAGTTCATTCACTGCCTCGTAGTTAATACACGTAGTTCTATCATTTTGAAAAGAACAGAACCTCCACATCTACTCAGGATTTCCAATTTCCTATAATAAATCAAGATATGTTGGTTATTTATGGTATTTCAGCACACAATTTTTAAAAGGTGTCTCCAAATCTCACATGTAAACTCGACAACCAATCTGGACAGAAATACTGTTTTTTACCTTCCATCGTTGTGAAAACTAAATTATCTTCTAGTAACTCATATTTGAACTCTTAATTCATCAATTGAACAAAAATTGGTAGGATGATGATCGTAATGCAAATAATTCTTATAGACATTTCCAAATCTTACATCCTATTTATGTACGAGAAAATAACAATAATTATTACAAAAACCAGAAGGAGCTGAATAATGAAGGAAACTTCTTACATATTTAAAGGCATCAGTCTGATTGTAAGATCAAGGTCAGTGGTAAAATGAACGAATCAAACGATCACAGGACGATTCGGGATGCAAACCACGATTAGTACCGTAAACGTTTCATACCAATATAAAAATTGCCTTGCGATAACAGTGAGAAGTTTGATTTTCCGAGACTCTGGAAACTAATTCTAACATCAAAATCGTGCAACAGGTAGCCCGACTGGCAAAAGTTATATCGTGTAACAACACCGTTTTGTATATTTAATAAATAACCTACCCATTGAAACTCCATAAACTTTGATAAAACCCAAAATACGTGTTGCAGAAGACAGGGGAATTAACAATTAACATGGCTTACGGCGATACCGGATATGGCATGTATCCTGTAACACGCGCCCATGGGTGTAATACAATTTTAGTCTCTTAACAGGCTTTACTCTATGGTTAATAAGTCAGAAAATCTTTAAGGGCTAGTTTATTGGAAAACGTTTGCGGGCATATCATCACTGAATCTTGACATTGGATAACCTTATCAATAGGGAAGCACTATGAGCTTTAATTTTGAGTTTGCACTCAGTATATGTAATCTTGTGATACTACTTTCTGAATTGGTGATATCTGTCGACGATAGCTTGTCAGCTCCCCCTACGTTATTTGACAGAAATGTCTTCAGTTTGCAGAAGATTTTCTAAACTGCTTACACTGACGATTTGCACAAGTGATTCTGTCGCCTAATCTCTCATTATGCTGACACAGTTCCAAGCTATTTACCAACTAATTAACCGATAAAGAGTTTACTAGAATTGTTTGTTAAGGATAACCGCTAGAAACCATCATCAGTCAATGAAGAGTGTTCGTCAGTTTGTCAATGAGTATTTTAGTTAATAGTTTCGTCATATATCAATCATATTATGTGATTGGTAAGTCATAACGATGCTTTATGACGATATTTAAAAACCATTATGAATAACTAATTATAGTATCAATTGAAGATTTGCTAGTGATAAATATGTGTTGTTACTTTAAGTGTTTGGTACTTTTCTGATTCATAATATGTCCACATTTAAGAATATGGAAATGTCAGAAGTTTAGCGTGATTTCTACAGCATTAGCAAATCCAAGTTACCTGACCTTATCATAAATCATAATTCTGAAATACTCGTTAATTTTGTATCAATAATAATACTAAGCTGCAGAGTTTCCATTTTGAACGCGTGCGAGTATGTGTGGTGTTTGCTTTGCAATTCTTTGTTGAATCACTTTTCATATTTACAAGAGAATAGGAGTCACTATTAAACGAACGCAAGTTCGATTGACCCTGAGGTTGTATTTCATCATGACGACTAAGCAAAACAATAGAAATTTTCATCGACTGAATATCAAGTTCATTCACTGCCTCGTAGTTAATACACGTAGTTCTATCATTTTGAAAAGAAAAGTTCGGTATTCTTAATAGCTCTCTTTCCAAACCCGATGTGTTAATTCCTACAATTAATCGATCTCTCAGTTGCACATGAAGTTGATCACCGAAATTATATTTGGCAGCTTGTTTCTGCAATTCAAGGATGAGTTCCCTAACTTTTTGGTCGTTCTCTCGAATCATCTTATGAAATTTCGCTATTTCACGGCATTCAAAACTGGTGCACTTTACATGATTTAATATTAGTTCCTTAAGAGTTGCATAAGGAAGTGAGATAGGCGTTTTTGGTTATGCTAAAGTCTTTAATAAGCTGTATGCTTCCTTTCCGACGAATGTCGGGAAATATTCCACAATTTTATCACTCTCAACATCTTTCTCGGTCATGCTCCAGATTTCAAACGTTTCTAAATAATTTTCAAAAGCTTCAGAAGTTGAATGAACATCTAACTGTTCCATTGCAGGCTCCATCGCGATGCCAATATGATAATATGGAGTATTTGAATTATAGCAAAAAATAAGAATCTTAGAAATAATGCAATGTAACCAGGAAGTGCTAGATAAGCACGAACGAATGTAATGTTTTTGGAATTCGAAAGCAAGCATTCAGCAAGTACCAAGGAATCGTTAGTTCATAAAAACACCACAAGTTTTAATGGTGTTTGTTCTTTTCAAGGCATATTGCCAGCCATCAAGATTTGGCTGATTGTGCTTTTTTTGTAACCTAAGTAGCTAACGATACTTTAGAGGAAGTTGTTTGACCACGCCTGTTCTATTATTATCTGACAGTGGGCGCATTTTTGACATTTTTGGTACATGTTGTGAATTGTTCACGTGTGTCCGTAGTTTTATCTGTTTGTAAGTTGGAAGTTATACGTTCGGATTCACAGCGGTAGGGTTGGGTGGTGTATGTTTCAAAATTTGTGTGTAGACATATCAAGTGATCATAATTTAAGACTGAAATTTTCTTATCATATCTGTCCACTTGATACCCACTTCCTGAATCACGACATCCAATTGTCACAATTCGAATTATAGTAGTCCAGTCAACACTTTCAGTGAACTTTTTAACGCGGATAACTGTTGGTAATAAGTTGCGGGTAATACTTTTTTATTCGCCTGTTCAGCTATTACACCTGAACGTATTCCTTTGTTCATTAGATCTACTCGGCCTTATTCCCATAGATCCTGAAACTAATTAGTCGACCTTTCAAGAAAGCCTACCTTAGAAGGGTTAAAAATCACTGTAAGGGTTTACAATTAGTATTTGGTTAGGAACTAGGTATTTTATTAGGAATTTATATGATCTGTAATGGCAGAATGCTATTTTACATATGGATAAATGGATGACGCATCAAAACTATGGACTTGCTGTTTTTGATTTTATTGGTTTTCTCATAAATTGTATTCTCAACTTATCAAAAATAATGAGCCAATAACTAGTTCTCATAAGTTATTCTGTGTCATCTATCTTAGCCATTTTGTAGGATGAAGCCGATAATTGATTCTGAATCGGTAAAGTTGAACAAAAAAAGCAGCCCTCAGAATATCAAGCAAAAACTTTTCAGACAAGATGGTACGAACAAAAGTGACATAAAAGTATATATGCGTATGCATTCAAAGAAGAAACGGCAAAAGTACATTAAATCTACAGTCGAGGATAAAACGACTGAATCTGAACAAAATACTCTTTTGACATCTGGTCTCAAGGTGGACAGTCAGTCAGAGGAATCTGATCGCTTAAGATCAAAGAAGAAAACTCGGAGGGAGAAAAATAAAAATGTAACAAAGCGTTTGCCCGAACATCCTGATTCTATTATGAGCAGTAAAGGTACGGATTACGTAAGATAAATATGATATATAGTTGGTAAATTTAGGAAACACCTGTTAAGCCAAATACATTAAAACATTTGTTTAGGAAGGTGTAAGGTTCGGAACACTTATGATCAAATTATCTTGATCATTCTGATGGGACTTAGTCCTCTGAGCTTCATAACCACCAGTCCAAGCTAAAAGTCTCCACAATCGCATTCTTATCATTTATGAAGTTGGAGTTACAGTTGTTTTCAAGACAAAATTAGATTTTAAGGTTGGTGATAAAAATAGTGAAATGTCTAACTAAAGTTCATCGCATTCGTTTTCTCTCATTGTTACAAATCTAAAAATTCATGATTTCATGTACTGGCATGTAGTTTTAAATGAAAAAGTGAATAATCATCTGGTCTATCTGGTTAATGATGTTGCCTCTGGGAAAGGATTTCCAAGTCGTCAGTGCTACTATTACTAGAAATGTGGCAAAGTAATACGTGGAGGTTATTTGACAGTTAATTGCTTTTCCCCTTATAGCAACTCATATGTTCCGAAACTTAATGTAATGAATGCATTTTCAAGGTGGTATAAGGTTTGATCGGTAATTATATTTGGCATCATATGTCCAAGTTCAGTTAATATTATTTTACTTGACGTCTTACTAAATATATATCAAGATAAATCACATTATGCTATTTTAAACATAATTATTGATCGCTCTCACAGACCATTGTAGCGTAAGCAGTCAGAATTGTCTATCTCTACTCATCACCAACCTACCCAAACATATAAATTATTCAATGCTCAAAGATGCCATACCATCGGCTGCACGCGTGCATCTGTTCAGGAAATCTGGAAAGCGTTTAGCGTTTGCCAATTTCTATACCATGGATGACTATTCAAATGCCATTAGTCGTTTGGAGGGACTTGAGTTTGACGGGGTCAAGGTAAGATAATATCAGCCGAATTCCGGTTAGCAATAAATTTTTCTTAAGAGTTTTAGACTAAGTTACTTAGTTTCTAACATCGTATACAACAAAGAGTTTGGTTTTATAAGTTGAGTAGTCGTGATGATTAACATTAGTAATGGATTCCAATTCTAGTGTGATTCTTGTTTTCAAAACTATTTGATTACTCTTCTTGAGCCAGCTACTCCTCCTTAAACGTAGACCGCCGACCAAAAATCTCCAAGTAACTTTGTTCTGGCCACTCCTTCCTAGTTGTTGTCAATCAGTATTCATGGTCGTGATGTTTGCCTCTGATTGGTAGCGTTGGTCTGCTTCCTTTCGTTTTGGCTTAAGTTAGTATCTACATTGTGACACAGTATAGTGGCTTTTGCAAACTTTGTTCTGTTGATTTTCAATATCTGTTTAATTTCTTCCTCAATTGGCACATACCTTTACTTCTGATAGGATGAGTTTTTTATGACCATCTGTAGTACCTAGTGTAAGTGATCGTTTATGAATACTTGTACTTTCTTGGTGGTGATCTTGTCAGGGTTATTTTGACGTCAATGTGGAAAATTCTATGACCTTGGATGAGGATTCTTTTGAGCTCCGGATATTCTTCAATTGTAGGAATGTTGCTCTTACCCAACTAACGCACACCTTGGGATCCGCATTAGACTATTGATTATTAGTGATACTACCGAGGTGCGTAAACGTTTCCAACTCTCCCAGAGCTTCGCCATCAAGTACGGTTTGGTTGATTTTCCCTGTATCATGTTTTTGGGGATCTCGCTTCTTCCCTTGTGAATATATAGACCTACTTCTACACTGGCTGTCTTCACCTGCATTTGTTGCTGTATATGGAATAGAAGGGCTAGGTCACCTGCCCACTGTATTGTGTTTTTCGTGAGATTTGGAGGTCTCATAATTTAGTCAACAACCAGGAGAAAGAGAAAAGATGAAAGTAGACAGCCTTATTTTTATCTGAGTCTTCACTTGGAATACATATGTGAGCTGTCTTCCATGCGAGACTTTTCAATTCAGTTCCTTATATGAATTCCGTATGTTAGTGACTATTATCCCAGGTTTCAAAAGGCTTTCCCATCGACACTGGAACATCTCCCCCATAGTCAAGAGAGTTGAGTTTCATTCAATTTATTGCTCAACAATGACCCACAGTGTTAAAATCCGGTCTGTACATGACCGATTCCTACGAAATACTGTTTGTTGATTTCGAAGTTGAACGTCTATTGAAGCTTTCATTCGGTTTAGCAACACTTGAAAATTTTGACTGGGACTGATAAAAATGTGCTGTACCTGTAGTTCTCACATCCACCAATATGAGATATCGTTCTTTCCTCCCAAAGCTTCCTAAACATAACATTGAACATCTTTTCAGTTACTGCCATAATTGACTCCAGTACTTCGTCTGACATGCCGTCTGGTCCAACTGCTTCTGGTCTATTCAGTGTGCTCTGTCCACCTGTTTCACTGCTATTGGATCTCAGTGGTTGGTTTCCCTTTGTTCTTGATTGGTCGATCTGGTTTCTTACACTTCTCGCTAACAGAGATCTATTCCAAAAGTGTTCTGCGCTTGTAATCAGTACTATGCATACACATGCCAGTTCACGAGAACTAGCCATCGGGTCGCCAGATACGCGAGGGTGTATCTCATCGGATCCTCGTTTTGCGAGGTGAGGTCAAGTAAATGACCACACTAGGATCCTGTGTTCGTGTTCCCTCGCGAAGATTGTTAGGTGTTTTCCTGGACATTTCTTCAGGATAGACTATATTATCTGATAGAACAGGTCTTCATAATCTTTACTGACATCATTGATGGGTGTGTATCGGTGGGCAATATTCATTACAATGTTTTCTTTTTTTGCTTTGGAGTATGTTTCGATAATTCTGTCGCCTTAGGTCTCCCATCTTATAGGCGGTTTTCGTGTTTTTCTGGACAGCATCAGTGCAACTCGTGTATGTGTTGCGCTTTCTTCCTTATGACGAGAATACAACAGTTCTACTGAAATGAAATGATTTCTGTCCAGATTGTGTACATGTAGTTTTACTTATTTCACGCAGATCTGGCTTGTGTATTGTCATTTCTGTGACTTTAGATGATCCGGTTTTTCGCGCAATCTGGACATCCCACACCATTTATTTGTGCTTCTCTGATCGACGGAAGTGGCGTTGCACTTGTGTCTGGTTGTTCAGCAAAGATGTACTACTATAATCTGATTATGACGAGTTTATTGATCAAGTATCAAATAAATTCTCCACTTCATTTAAAAAATATCCCCGTATGAAAAGTACGAATGGCAAATCAGATCTTCCTACAGAGTTTACTGTTTTTACTTTGAACCAAAGTTCTTTATGGTCATCACGTTAATGTGAAACAATACTTAATTATTTGAAGATATGCTGTACTATCAATTGTGTCTCACGAAAATGTAAAATTCATTTTGTCGGGTGTTTGAGTTACGACCTTTAGGCTAGGTTATTTTTTTAAGGAATGCCTAACTGTATGGTAACGCGTCTACATATACGAAGACGAAAAACATGAATAAGGAAACAGTATGAGATGCCTTTGGAATCACAGTGTGGAAAAGTTTACAATTCTGATATTCAATGGCAAGATGTTAAAAGAACTCAGCGACCACTAGTTAAATCACTGCGTTTAAACAGATATTTCGTTTAAAAATCCCCATATTAAAATACTAATATATGAACGATGATCATTCTTTCCAGTAAATCCTCTTTGGGTTCTGCTGTAATTTTTATTTGTTTTACGAACAATCTTAAATTCACATGTTATGGTTTTATATGATGTACTTCTCTTAAACGTAGTCACTCTTTGGATTATTAATTTGAATGTGGAACTGAAAGAAAATTTATTGGAAAATAATACTCCGTTCATATATTAGTGCTTTACTTATCCCTTTTTTCGTCTCACTTTAAACAGTTGGCCTTCACTACATAAAGCTTAAACTACGATTTAGTTTAAGAAATTATGAAGTTGAATAACCTCACTAGAAAAAGTGGTTTCAGATTATACGCTAATTTCTTATGATGATATTTTTATTTTTACGAAATCTGGTGTGTATAACTTGACCGATTCAAGGACTATTCTGCAATGTTTTAAAGTAGCATCATAAGTTGTATCCTGTTAGTGCTACATTTAGATTGTCTACATGATTCTCTCTGGTATAAAATTTTACCGTTTCAAAACCCCTTGAAAAAACTTCCCGTCTATAGAGATAATATGTGCAAACATTCTCGTTGTGATACAATAGTAAACAGGACTTTGTTAACTTGAGTTACTTTTTTCATCTTTTGTCGCAAATTATTTCGGAAAGAAAGCACATCAAATCACTAATCGATCTACAGATTACGTGTATTCAATAATCAATGACCACTTATTTTGTGCCACAATTGCTTCATACATCAATACTCAAACAATTGAAAGAGGGTATTACCAAGTAGTTTTATTTCCATATAGTTTTATGTTTTGTTTTAACTGTTATATTCTTTTACCGATTTGTTTATTATGAAAGCCATTGTTTAGGCAAGTTACACGCCATGAAAAAACTGAAAAGAAGAAACCTGAGAGTGGTGAATTGAGGCTGACTATTCATAATTTACCATACTCTATTACTATAACTGAGTTAGAAGATGAATTTCCTACAGCCAAATCAATCATAATAAATACGAAGAAAACTGGAGTTAATAAAGGGTAAGATTTAGATGTTATTCTTTATGAATTATGTTTTCCATGTTGATACTCAGATGATAATTCTAATTTATATTGACGCTAAATTGGTACAGTCAAAAATCTAGTGATTCATTAGTATATTAGTTCACAATAAATATAACAGCGCTCTATATCTCGTGGAAATTTCTTTAAAACTCTGTTGTATGTTTCTGTGTGCACATTTTGGTATCTCATCTTATTTTGATTTCAGTAGTTAAAATGAAGTGAAATGCGAAACATCAAAGTCATAACAGTTGCCGCAGATGATGGTAGATTACGCCTGCTAGTAAAACAAATATTAACAGGCGATTGTCGATAAAAAGATTTGTCTAAGATAAACTAGTTGGTAGTATTTTCAGTAAAGACTACTGGCACAATAAATACAATTTTTGTAATGCAGATCAATGGCTATCTCCGAAACTTCGATTACTGTTCTGATGAACCAACTTTGACTGCTTATTTCAAACACTTAAAATAATTATACTATAACGAAAGTCGAACGAAACTCCAAGCTTGAATAAAATGACTCCAAATTTCCTACTTAGTTTGCATTCGAGACGCAAATTTATTTTTTGGTATTAAAATAAGTTTTGTTTCGGCTGAGTGAGTTAATGAAATCGTGAGACTGGGAAACAGTTTATATCCATTCTTTCAACAGAATAACATTCGAGCACTCTAATTCCCGATCTTTTGGAAAATCTCAGTCAGTTTCATGACCAAAAGGTCAATTCGCCACCATCCCTAGAAAGGGTTGGAAATAAGTCATCCTGACCTAGTGATTTGCGGAGCTTCGAAGGTTGGAGCTCCCTGTGGACTTCCGCCTTGCTAAGTAGATCAGTCGACGCCGGCCAGGAAGGATATGATAATCTGATGTTACCGGAGCAGCAGAATAGCTGAACTGTCCATCGTCCAAAACGTCGGTAAGTGTTATTAATTGGCGTGACATCACAGATTTTATGCACAATTCTGGGTAGACTTCCAATTAATCCTCTTTTTTGAATGATATTTACCTGATTTATTCACTGGCGTAAATTTTGTCACTGAAGAATTGCATAAAAATATTTCAGTGCTCACTATGATGCTGCAAGTAAGTAATCTGAAACCTTTAGGTTTTTTCGACTTTTTCACTTAGTATTCGAATTTCATAGTTTATTTCTAATGGTATTATTTATTTTTTTGATTGGTTTATTAGATCCTGTTTACTTGAGTTTGAATGTCATGATGATCTTCAAGTTGTTCTGGATGCTTGTCAGAATAAAGTGATCGGTGGTCGCCGTGTATCTGCCTTGCCCGGTCTTCATTTTGAAATTAAATCCGAAAACACTAAAGCAAATACTAAAGAAGCCACTACATTTGGCATAAAAATATGCAAAATGTCTACATCAATAGAAGATGATCGACTTCGACAGCAGTTTCCATTGGGATCCATAATTGAATATTGTTCAGTGCCTACTAGTAATCCATCATGCAGGTAATACACATTTGTTCACTTTTGCGCCAATTTCTATGCACATGTGTAATGTTTATATTTATATGCAGCTGAATCTCTTGTTCCAATGCATTGTTCTTTTTAAAATTTTATGTATATCACCATCCTCCGTTTCTAGTGAATGTCTCTCTTTTTTTCTTCAGAAATGTATTTCTCACTCTCAGGAACAATATATCTAATCAATTAATTGTTAAAAAACTTCGTAGAAAAGGTATCGACCAACATCGCCTGCACATACAATCATGGTGTAAGTGTTGCTGTATTCACGAATAAATAATATGATGCTAGTAATCGCATACAAGTATACACCTGCTGTGTAAAGTATAATGAATTTATTAGAATGTATAAATCTTGGCTAATGAGATGAGGTTCTGACCTGGGCACATTTTATTGTTTAAACCAATCCATCACATCAAGTTTCATGGAGCAACTTTTAGGTTAAAAAAGGATCTTAATTTTTGGAAGTTTGTTGGGAACTCCAAACATCGTACATTAAGTAGTATAGATTAGGACAGTAAACTAGTAATATTAATGACCAGTACTCGTTATATGTATACCATACATTTTGTTTTCCTAAACCTATTGTCTTAAAATCAGAATTAATCAGAAATCTGTGGCAATAAGAAAGTTTCTAATGTTCCTCACAATAAAATATTCAACCTAGTGTATATTTTGAAATAATGAACAAAATTATCGAGTTACCAGTTGTTTAATGGAAATTATTGTTCTTCACATGCCATCTTGTTTGAAATAGTAGGTCCCATTCATTTTTGATTACTTTCAACCAGTTGACCGACAAAACTTTTGTATTCAGTTATTTTTTATTGGAAATATGGTGTTTGATTAAGTAATTATTGGCCCGGTGACTTCAGTCAGCCAGTTGTCTATTTTTTCATTAGTCTGTTTAATAATTTGCTACGTATATTTATATGTACACTTTGTCACTTCAATATCCTATGTATATATATTTACCAGTAAATTACAAATAATTACTTGGTTTTTATGCTCTACTTTATTTCTATGTTCAGACAAAAAGGACTTCAAATCTCAAAAAATTGAGCTAAAGCCACCATCTGACGGTAAGCTTTATGTTTACAGACTAGTAGTGAAGTATTTCTTTTGAAAGTATGTTTCTGTTCAGGTTTCTATTAATTTTGTTAAGTGATCAACGTTCAGTATTTCCAACACTTAGTTTACATTTAGATGAAGCTTGCTAGATACTCATAACATTCTATATATTTGTCAGTCAGCTACAACGTAGGACCAGGCACATATATACATCTATGTATTTGTACTTAGTATATATAGCGAAAGCATACTAGCAGTAAATCCATGTCAAATCAGAAGAGAAAAGCATTAAGTATCTTTTTTCTAATAGTCATGAATAACTTATTTTATCGACTCAGCCTATCTGCATTTCCTTAAATTCACCTAATTAAAAAAAAACCATTTACGTATAGTTTGTGTCAATTAAAGAAGCTTCTAATTATACAACGCTAAATGTTGATTTTGATATTTACAAAACATTAATTGAACTAGTATTCTCTGTGTGTTTTGTTTGGAAGGTAACAAAAACAAAATTGATGAACCGAAATTAAAGGCGAGTGGTTCAGCTGAAAATGGTGAAATGACATTTTCAGAATCAGGTAAGGAAGAACTTTTCTTCTCCCTTGAGTGTTTTGTAGTGAGACATTGGATAACTTTTCATCGTATGTGCATCTGTGTTGAGAGAATTTCCGACTTAAAGTGATAATGTGGTTACCTAGCTTGTTGGTTAAATCGTATTTACCTATAGCTGTTAGTTCAATTTGTTTAGCTTGAATGGGGACTTGTAGAATTTTCTTACTGCTATTAAACTCACGGTTGTATTCTAAAGTGACTGTATTCTTTGATTTTTGTTAGTATTTAGTGTGTTAATCCCAACACACTTCTTTAATTCTGTTAAATATCACTTACTTTAATGTTGTACTTACCTGAATACCATTGATGAAACACCTAATGTAGGTGTATCCTTTTGATAACAACTAATATTAATTGAATTAAAAACCATTAATCTATATTTTCAAGTCTCAATAATTTGGCGGCAATCCGTTGCAGGATATCGAGAGAAACAACAAGATTGAAGTTTTTTGAACACTGCTAGAATAATGACTGCTTTCTTCGTCATATTATTAAAACTGTACGTGCATGTAAAATACCTCCTTTATTAAAAAATCTGCGACTTATCACAAAATCCCAAATTAAATGCACCAAGGAACTTATCCTTATACTCAAAACAGAGAACCCCTTGGTTTTGACAAAATTGTTATGGATTTAAATATTGTGTGCCGAATCAAACTCATGAAGACATTAACCGAAACAGTTGTAAAAGAACAAGAGCATGACGTCTTTCCTACTAATCCAGGAAATTACATACGGAATTTATCGAGTAAAAAACAGTCGAATTAAAATGGAAGCGCTTTCCCTTAGATTTCAATTTCATATTCTGAAAAAAATTTAAAAGAATCGACACCGAAATGCAATTCGAGTATTTATATCAACAGTTGTCAGGCCTAAAACCCATGAATGATGTAAAACAAAGTTGGTTGAAATCAAAATTAGTGGATATTACAAATCAGTGAGTTACGACACCAGTTCAGCAATCTAAGGTGTTGACTTTAGATCATCAGAAAGCATTGAAAAGCTTATGAAAGAAAAAAACAATATTGCTACTTCGTCCAGATAAGGGTTCCGGTGTAGGCATCCTAAACAGAGACAAATACATTAGCAAAGTAATGTCCATTGTGAATGATTCCACGAGATTTATTGTCGAAAGACTTAACAAATGCGACTGAGAAGCGTCTTTTAAAAAAGTTGAGAGAATTCTTGAAGAAAAATCTAGTCGATAATCATACGTACAATGAATTCAAACCGAAAGAATCGCAATTATCTTACTTATACGGTCTACCTAAAATACAAAAATCTAACATCCTGATAAGACCAGTATTATCTATGACCAAATCGTCTTTCCATAGACTCATCCGCTGACTGAATAGGGGCTTAGAACCAATCCTCAGGAAACTATCACCCTACAGTCTGAAGGATAGTTCCAAATTTGTACAAAAGCTTAATTGCTTCCGATAAATTCATGGTCTCGTTTGATGTCTCATCACTCTTCACAACGATCCCTTTGGAAGAAACGGCAGATATATGTGAATATCCTGAACTCTTGCCTTTACCAATCCACGAATTCAAACAGCTCCCGTTCCTGTGTACCAGAAACATACAATTTCAACTTAACAGTGTGTTGTACCGCCAAATTGATGTAGTAGCCCTCTGAGTCCAACTCTGGTCGATATATTTATGGGAAACCTGAAGCAGAGGAGGCTCAAGCACGCAATCGATGGGACTACACTACCGTAGATATGTTGATGACACATTACTCGTCTGTAGCAATCATATGCATTCTATGAACCTACTCAATCTGTTTGAGAAAGCACACAAAGGTATACATCTTATTATGGAACACGAAGTAGAAGGTAAATTCCATTTCTTAGATATTGGGATCAGACAAACTTCAGATGGCACATTACAAAGACACATTCACCTCAAAAGTATCTGGAATGGAATCTATCTCAATTACAACATTTTCCGTCCAATGAGTTACATAAAGGGATACTGTACGAACCCTTTTTGACTGTGCGCGCAAAATTTGCTCAACGGAATGCCTGGAAGATGAAATTTCTCTCATTACAAATTACTTACGTGAAAATGCATATCCCGTAAAGTTCATTGAGAAGTATGCCAAAACCAACCTTCGGGTTAAATACGATACAGTTGAAAAAAACTGCTTCTTATACTTACGCTTCAGAGGAGATGAAATAATCTATGTCAATTGTTTCACATTTTATCTTAACTCAATGTAAAATCTCAATACATATTTAGTTGTAAGGAGCTGATGAGAAACCACAAAATATAATGAATTCATATTATTGTCCATCCATGTTTGTTCTGGCTTTATTTAACTTCATAAAGGGAACTAATTGCATGAAATTAATCTATATCATTGACGGTATTAATGGTTAGAGTTATAAAAATTATCACTTGACACCAGTTCCTGTTTAACTCCACATTGCAATTTTTAGTGTAAAAATGAACTTTTCTAGCGTGGTTGTTCTGATTTTTGACAGACAGTGATGTTTTAGAAAAAGGCTTGACTTTTTCCTTTCGAAACATTTAACACACTTATGTATGATGTCCCGCTTTGAATGTTCAGACATCACAGTACATGTTTATCATAAAAGAATTTGTCAAATCTATTCACGTATGTTTATATACTAATCCTGTATCCTTAAATTTCTTATTGATTAATACCGAAAGAAGTTCACATTTCAGCCAAAACGTTCTAGGCTTTCATCAGCTTCTCTGATGTTTTTTTTAGTAAAAGATGATTTTTGACACACCTTTACCAAATCAATGTTGCAACGATAATGTATTATGCTTGATTGTGTCTATTCTCATTGTACTTTGTTCAATAGATAAAAAGAATAAATCAAAAAAACAGAAACTTGAAAAAATGGATGTCTCTTTGGAGAATACTAAACTTGTGGCTTCAGACTCAGGTGAATACTGCTTATTTGCATTCTCTTTTGTAAACTTTAAGAATCGTAACGACCAACTATCTACTCATCTTATTTCACTAGAGAAAATTTACATTTAGTAGTAAAACAATGCAAGGGATTGCTACAACAAATAGACAACTTACGTAACAGTTAGAAATATTGACGTAAAATTTTGCATTGAAGTACATCCACTCAACTTATCATGCACCGAAATCGAATGAATATTAAACAAACCAAAGAGAACTGAAACAGGTGATTCAAGAAAACAATATAAGTGCTACAAATTTCAAGGGTCAAATAGAGTAGTGAATAAATTTGTGTTATTGTAATCAACTCATGTATCAAACCATTGATTTTTTTTCATGATATGCAATCTGGAAATAAAACCTCCCAAATGATTCAAATTGTGGGTTTTTTCATTTTATGAACTAATGGTGTAATTTAGTACGAAATCTTTGATTCCAACTTTTACTGTGACCACCCCATAGTATCCAGTAAATTGGCTTCGCGCATGTGGTGCACGATCCTATCACTTCACTTGACATGGACCAACAAATTTATCATTTAACCTGTCATTCCTACTCAGACTGGTCCTAATGATTTACTTGAAAAGTAGAATACTGTATTGATTTATATCGAGTTGATCACTGAAAATAATTTTACTTCTTTTTCATCTATCTAGCCAATAAAAAGCACAAATTGAAAAAACGGAAATATGAGTGCGTAGACGTAAATATGATCGATTCGCATTCGTGTAAGTAAATAGTCCGATGTTGAAACGGTCGTACTTTGCATTTAATGTACTTGCTTTTTATCCTGTGTTTCTTGTAAGTACTTACATGAACGAAACAAATACAACACAGGGGCTCATTAAGCGTTGATATATATGACAGTTTTTACTTATGTATCCACAATGTTTTTATTTTAGCGAACACTCCACAGTCTCATAAGAAAAAGGAGTTCAAAACCAAAGAAAGGAGTCACATCGGTGACAATCCAAAACACATAGTATTCGATCAAGGTAGGTGGTACACATAGTTTACTTAATGTGTTAAATTACCTGCATGCAAAATTGAATTTGAGTTTTATGTGTATCAATATGTGCGCTTAAAAGATAATCATTTTTGTTCTGTAAATGAACTGTTATCACATTGTCTCGAACAGTATTTCGTGTAAAATTAGAATTTTTTGTGTTGATAATGATAATATTACTGAGGAATATGCTGATATAAACTTGATTAAGAAGCTGTGAGAACTACTGTACGGAAACTAGTTTTACTTATCATTTGACAATATGAATGAGACTTTACAACGAGCTTCTAAAGTTCCATCAAGCTAGTAAAAATGATATATCAAAGGTAAATCAAGCAAATATAGGATACCCTTTATAGATTACTTTCATAACGTATAGGTTTCTTACTTTGAGACTATTCTTCAGTTAGTCAGTGTACATTATGGTCGTAGTTCATTCATACTGGTCCTATTAGTTGTCTACTATAGCTCATTCATCGCAGTAAATTAAATAGCATTAATTCAACTACAGTTATATCTATTGTTTTTTGAAATAATGTGTTTACTATTTAGTTGAACACTAGCCACAATAAAAGGAAAAAAGACCCACTTTTCTTCATTAGATTTTGGTACATAAGCACTCTTTATTACACTTTACTCTAGCGAGATTGTTCTACTTAAATTTAGAATCCGATTGGACCGATCAAAAGTTGTTAAAGTAGTAATTTGAAAAATGATTTCCTGGAAAATATATATTCCATTTACAAAGCTTCTATACTTAAGCGATTGCGATTGCGTAATGCCTTGTATTCAGCCGACATTTTACGTAGTTATATCGAATTCGGTCTGTCAGTGGTAGACACTTTTCATTTTTGTACTTTACTGGACAGTACCCTCGGAATGATCTACTATCAGCTTAGTGAATAGTGTTCACTTTAGTTAAAAGTGATTAAAATTCTTTCTACACATTTCAAACTATTTCGTATATCGATGTTAGCGCTTACTCTCGTTACATTTTTTGTTACAATCAGTGATTATACTGACCATATGAAAAGCAAAATTTATTGATACCGACTTCTCCAGACCATAAAAACATGAGTTACTTAGCCGCATAGTTGCAATTATCGTTAAAACGAATTGTTTCAATGATAAACAGCATGAAACCTGACACAATTTTCCGTCGGACCCATTTGGTACACACAACATCTGAACAGTGAAAGAGAGAAGAAGAACAAGTTAAGCTTGGAAGAATCGTGTTGATGATAGGAATTGAGTTTATGAAAGAACGAATGACAATGCGGATAGAAAAGCTAAAGAATGTACACATCTACACTAATTCAACCTATTTCGAGCCACGAATTAATTGCAGTTTTTTTGTTTCCTTCTGAGCAATTTTAGGTATGTTTGTGTGTAAATTTAAATTCTTGGGGAAAGTCTATATTGTTTCGCGAATTCAATTTTTGAATCAATGAATCTTGCATTCTTGACAACTGATGTTCAAGAGAAATTCAGTATTCTTCATACATGCACACACCTACAAGGTATTGAAGTTAACCTTAAAAAACATCGACTTAGTTTCGAGAAACCTAAAAGCATATTTCAACAAGCGATCCCCTAAGGACTAGTTGCTCCAATGATGAAAATTTTCCGTTCTTATGCCCCCCCCTAATGCTACTTTTACGGTCCATGACGCACGATAGTAATCTTACAAATCACCAATGATTTTAATACTGGTATTTACTTCGATTTCAGGTATATCTAAGCAATTATTTGGTAGATTGTGTTTAAATTATAATTGTTTTCACGTTTTCTGATCTTTCTAGATGGTTATTATATTTGTGAGTGCAAGGCAAAAGTTTTAAAATCTATTAATATTGTTACAAAATTACACAATACTAAATGTTGATTTTGATATTTACAAAACATTAATTGAACTAGTATTCTCTGTGTGTTTTGTTTGGAAGGTAACAAAAACAAAATTGATGAACCGAAATTAAAGGCGAGTGGTTCAGCTGAAAATGGTGAAATGACATTTTCAGAATCAGGTAAGGAAGAACTTTTCTTCTCCCTTGAGTGTTTTGTAGTGAGACATTGGATAACTTTTCATCGTATGTGCATCTGTGTTGAGAGAATTTCCGACTTAAAGTGATAATGTGGTTACCTAGCTTGTTGGTTAAATCGTATTTACCTATAGCTGTTAGTTCAATTTGTTTAGCTTGAATGGGGACTTGTAGAATTTTCTTACTGCTATTAAACTCACGGTTGTATTCTAAAGTGACTGTATTCTTTGATTTTTGTTAGTATTTAGTGTGTTAATCCCAACACACTTCTTTAATTCTGTTAAATATCACTTACTTTAATGTTGTACTTACCTGAATACCATTGATGAAACACCTAATGTAGGTGTATCCTTTTGATAACAACTAATATTAATTGAATTAAAAACCATTAATCTATATTTTCAAGTCTCAATAATTTGGCGGCAATCCGTTGCAGGATATCGAGAGAAACAACAAGATTGAAGTTTTTTGAACACTGCTAGAATAATGACTGCTTTCTTCGTCATATTATTAAAACTGTACGTGCATGTAAAATACCTCCTTTATTAAAAAATCTGCGACTTATCACAAAATCCCAAATTAAATGCACCAAGGAACTTATCCTTATACTCAAAACAGAGAACCCCTTGGTTTTGACAAAATTGTTATGGATTTAAATATTGTGTGCCGAATCAAACTCATGAAGACATTAACCGAAACAGTTGTAAAAGAACAAGAGCATGACGTCTTTCCTACTAATCCAGGAAATTACATACGGAATTTATCGAGTAAAAAACAGTCGAATTAAAATGGAAGCGCTTTCCCTTAGATTTCAATTTCATATTCTGAAAAAAATTTAAAAGAATCGACACCGAAATGCAATTCGAGTATTTATATCAACAGTTGTCAGGCCTAAAACCCATGAATGATGTAAAACAAAGTTGGTTGAAATCAAAATTAGTGGATATTACAAATCAGTGAGTTACGACACCAGTTCAGCAATCTAAGGTGTTGACTTTAGATCATCAGAAAGCATTGAAAAGCTTATGAAAGAAAAAAACAATATTGCTACTTCGTCCAGATAAGGGTTCCGGTGTAGGCATCCTAAACAGAGACAAATACATTAGCAAAGTAATGTCCATTGTGAATGATTCCACGAGATTTATTGTCGAAAGACTTAACAAATGCGACTGAGAAGCGTCTTTTAAAAAAGTTGAGAGAATTCTTGAAGAAAAATCTAGTCGATAATCATACGTACAATGAATTCAAACCGAAAGAATCGCAATTATCTTACTTATACGGTCTACCTAAAATACAAAAATCTAACATCCTGATAAGACCAGTATTATCTATGACCAAATCGTCTTTCCATAGACTCATCCGCTGACTGAATAGGGGCTTAGAACCAATCCTCAGGAAACTATCACCCTACAGTCTGAAGGATAGTTCCAAATTTGTACAAAAGCTTAATTGCTTCCGATAAATTCATGGTCTCGTTTGATGTCTCATCACTCTTCACAACGATCCCTTTGGAAGAAACGGCAGATATATGTGAATATCCTGAACTCTTGCCTTTACCAATCCACGAATTCAAACAGCTCCCGTTCCTGTGTACCAGAAACATACAATTTCAACTTAACAGTGTGTTGTACCGCCAAATTGATGTAGTAGCCCTCTGAGTCCAACTCTGGTCGATATATTTATGGGAAACCTGAAGCAGAGGAGGCTCAAGCACGCAATCGATGGGACTACACTACCGTAGATATGTTGATGACACATTACTCGTCTGTAGCAATCATATGCATTCTATGAACCTACTCAATCTGTTTGAGAAAGCACACAAAGGTATACATCTTATTATGGAACACGAAGTAGAAGGTAAATTCCATTTCTTAGATATTGGGATCAGACAAACTTCAGATGGCACATTACAAAGACACATTCACCTCAAAAGTATCTGGAATGGAATCTATCTCAATTACAACATTTTCCGTCCAATGAGTTACATAAAGGGATACTGTACGAACCCTTTTTGACTGTGCGCGCAAAATTTGCTCAACGGAATGCCTGGAAGATGAAATTTCTCTCATTACAAATTACTTACGTGAAAATGCATATCCCGTAAAGTTCATTGAGAAGTATGCCAAAACCAACCTTCGGGTTAAATACGATACAGTTGAAAAAAACTGCTTCTTATACTTACGCTTCAGAGGAGATGAAATAATCTATGTCAATTGTTTCACATTTTATCTTAACTCAATGTAAAATCTCAATACATATTTAGTTGTAAGGAGCTGATGAGAAACCACAAAATATAATGAATTCATATTATTGTCCATCCATGTTTGTTCTGGCTTTATTTAACTTCATAAAGGGAACTAATTGCATGAAATTAATCTATATCATTGACGGTATTAATGGTTAGAGTTATAAAAATTATCACTTGACACCAGTTCCTGTTTAACTCCACATTGCAATTTTTAGTGTAAAAATGAACTTTTCTAGCGTGGTTGTTCTGATTTTTGACAGACAGTGATGTTTTAGAAAAAGGCTTGACTTTTTCCTTTCGAAACATTTAACACACTTATGTATGATGTCCCGCTTTGAATGTTCAGACATCACAGTACATGTTTATCATAAAAGAATTTGTCAAATCTATTCACGTATGTTTATATACTAATCCTGTATCCTTAAATTTCTTATTGATTAATACCGAAAGAAGTTCACATTTCAGCCAAAACGTTCTAGGCTTTCATCAGCTTCTCTGATGTTTTTTTTAGTAAAAGATGATTTTTGACACACCTTTACCAAATCAATGTTGCAACGATAATGTATTATGCTTGATTGTGTCTATTCTCATTGTACTTTGTTCAATAGATAAAAAGAATAAATCAAAAAAACAGAAACTTGAAAAAATGGATGTCTCTTTGGAGAATACTAAACTTGTGGCTTCAGACTCAGGTGAATACTGCTTATTTGCATTCTCTTTTGTAAACTTTAAGAATCGTAACGACCAACTATCTACTCATCTTATTTCACTAGAGAAAATTTACATTTAGTAGTAAAACAATGCAAGGGATTGCTACAACAAATAGACAACTTACGTAACAGTTAGAAATATTGACGTAAAATTTTGCATTGAAGTACATCCACTCAACTTATCATGCACCGAAATCGAATGAATATTAAACAAACCAAAGAGAACTGAAACAGGTGATTCAAGAAAACAATATAAGTGCTACAAATTTCAAGGGTCAAATAGAGTAGTGAATAAATTTGTGTTATTGTAATCAACTCATGTATCAAACCATTGATTTTTTTTCATGATATGCAATCTGGAAATAAAACCTCCCAAATGATTCAAATTGTGGGTTTTTTCATTTTATGAACTAATGGTGTAATTTAGTACGAAATCTTTGATTCCAACTTTTACTGTGACCACCCCATAGTATCCAGTAAATTGGCTTCGCGCATGTGGTGCACGATCCTATCACTTCACTTGACATGGACCAACAAATTTATCATTTAACCTGTCATTCCTACTCAGACTGGTCCTAATGATTTACTTGAAAAGTAGAATACTGTATTGATTTATATCGAGTTGATCACTGAAAATAATTTTACTTCTTTTTCATCTATCTAGCCAATAAAAAGCACAAATTGAAAAAACGGAAATATGAGTGCGTAGACGTAAATATGATCGATTCGCATTCGTGTAAGTAAATAGTCCGATGTTGAAACGGTCGTACTTTGCATTTAATGTACTTGCTTTTTATCCTGTGTTTCTTGTAAGTACTTACATGAACGAAACAAATACAACACAGGGGCTCATTAAGCGTTGATATATATGACAGTTTTTACTTATGTATCCACAATGTTTTTATTTTAGCGAACACTCCACAGTCTCATAAGAAAAAGGAGTTCAAAACCAAAGAAAGGAGTCACATCGGTGACAATCCAAAACACATAGTATTCGATCAAGGTAGGTGGTACACATAGTTTACTTAATGTGTTAAATTACCTGCATGCAAAATTGAATTTGAGTTTTATGTGTATCAATATGTGCGCTTAAAAGATAATCATTTTTGTTCTGTAAATGAACTGTTATCACATTGTCTCGAACAGTATTTCGTGTAAAATTAGAATTTTTTGTGTTGATAATGATAATATTACTGAGGAATATGCTGATATAAACTTGATTAAGAAGCTGTGAGAACTACTGTACGGAAACTAGTTTTACTTATCATTTGACAATATGAATGAGACTTTACAACGAGCTTCTAAAGTTCCATCAAGCTAGTAAAAATGATATATCAAAGGTAAATCAAGCAAATATAGGATACCCTTTATAGATTACTTTCATAACGTATAGGTTTCTTACTTTGAGACTATTCTTCAGTTAGTCAGTGTACATTATGGTCGTAGTTCATTCATACTGGTCCTATTAGTTGTCTACTATAGCTCATTCATCGCAGTAAATTAAATAGCATTAATTCAACTACAGTTATATCTATTGTTTTTTGAAATAATGTGTTTACTATTTAGTTGAACACTAGCCACAATAAAAGGAAAAAAGACCCACTTTTCTTCATTAGATTTTGGTACATAAGCACTCTTTATTACACTTTACTCTAGCGAGATTGTTCTACTTAAATTTAGAATCCGATTGGACCGATCAAAAGTTGTTAAAGTAGTAATTTGAAAAATGATTTCCTGGAAAATATATATTCCATTTACAAAGCTTCTATACTTAAGCGATTGCGATTGCGTAATGCCTTGTATTCAGCCGACATTTTACGTAGTTATATCGAATTCGGTCTGTCAGTGGTAGACACTTTTCATTTTTGTACTTTACTGGACAGTACCCTCGGAATGATCTACTATCAGCTTAGTGAATAGTGTTCACTTTAGTTAAAAGTGATTAAAATTCTTTCTACACATTTCAAACTATTTCGTATATCGATGTTAGCGCTTACTCTCGTTACATTTTTTGTTACAATCAGTGATTATACTGACCATATGAAAAGCAAAATTTATTGATACCGACTTCTCCAGACCATAAAAACATGAGTTACTTAGCCGCATAGTTGCAATTATCGTTAAAACGAATTGTTTCAATGATAAACAGCATGAAACCTGACACAATTTTCCGTCGGACCCATTTGGTACACACAACATCTGAACAGTGAAAGAGAGAAGAAGAACAAGTTAAGCTTGGAAGAATCGTGTTGATGATAGGAATTGAGTTTATGAAAGAACGAATGACAATGCGGATAGAAAAGCTAAAGAATGTACACATCTACACTAATTCAACCTATTTCGAGCCACGAATTAATTGCAGTTTTTTTGTTTCCTTCTGAGCAATTTTAGGTATGTTTGTGTGTAAATTTAAATTCTTGGGGAAAGTCTATATTGTTTCGCGAATTCAATTTTTGAATCAATGAATCTTGCATTCTTGACAACTGATGTTCAAGAGAAATTCAGTATTCTTCATACATGCACACACCTACAAGGTATTGAAGTTAACCTTAAAAAACATCGACTTAGTTTCGAGAAACCTAAAAGCATATTTCAACAAGCGATCCCCTAAGGACTAGTTGCTCCAATGATGAAAATTTTCCGTTCTTATGCCCCCCCCTAATGCTACTTTTACGGTCCATGACGCACGATAGTAATCTTACAAATCACCAATGATTTTAATACTGGTAATTACTTCGATTTCAGGTATATCTAAGCTATTATTTGGTAGATTGTGTTTAAATTATAATTGTTTTCACGTTTTCTGATCTTTCTAGATGGCTAATATATTTGTCATTGCAAAGAAAATAGATATGTCTATGATGTTTTTAAAAATATTCATTCCTCGGAGTACCCTCTCATTGGTAAATTTGTAGAAATGATTTAAATATTAAAGTTATCTTTTCGCAGTTAATAAAGATTTTTTGATTACTTCGTGCTAATGCTATTGTAGTTTATAAATGATCAAAGTCAGTTTACCAGTCGTCCAGGGCACTGGTATTCAGTCAGACACTGAAGCTGATAATTTAATGTTGATCGTTAATATCCGCTAAATAAGAAACACCTCAGTCTTAATCCACTTTTATATCGTAATTTCATTTATTATCGTGTACGTTCACAGCCTGAATAGACTGATCTCAACAATTCTTGCGTCTTCTTGCAAAGCAACTCGGTTCTCCGTGTTGTTAGATGCGTAAAGGTTTGAATGTGGTTGCAGAGAAGAGTGCTATGGCGTTACTTGAGGAGATAGCTCTATGTTATTAAAGTACTATTGGAGAAGTGTATATATGGTACTAATTATTGACTATTACTCATAATCTCTGTTAAATCAAATAGGTTATGTCGTTTCCAAGGTCTTTATAAAATTGACTGGGGCACCTATTTTATGTGAGAATTGTGGGGTTGGCTATAAAAGTATTATTTTACTAATAAAAGAAATTGCAACAATAAGACGGATGTACCCATTTTCAATAAGTGACTCATCTTTAATCATCTCTATTTCAAGTGATAATAATGTCGCATAGAAAATAAGTAAACGTCTTAACATTGTATTGACTATAACCTAGCTTTCAATAGCCAAATCGACATATATACTCTTTTTGCCACGGGTTGAATAGCCGAACCTCAAATAAAATTATTCCTTTCAACAATTATTATCGGTTTGACACGTAAGTCTTTTAGGTTTGCAGCAGACGGTCACTATTATCTGTTCGCTGAGCAAGAATACCAAAATACCCACTGAAATATCCATCTGTTGGATATAATCTACCTAGCTGGACATTAAATTCACCTTCTATGAGCACTATGTCGTAGTGTTTAGCTTTTTGAATAAATCCAGAAAGCTTTCTGTGAAAGTCATCCTTCACTTCATCCAGGTTGCAGCCAGAGGAAGCATAGGAAGAAATGACGAGAAGTTAACTATGTGTGTCCCTATCCTTCCGATTTCTTATGGAGCCGTTTAGCCGAACAGTACATAGACGACTGTTAACGGGGATCTACTGTATTAGTGCTTGTTCTGCCCTCGTACTTAGTGCTATGCCTACACCTGCCAAATCACGAGAACTAGCCATCGGGTCGCCAGATACGCGGAGGGTGTATCTCATCGGATCCTCGTTTTGCGAGGTGAGGTCAAGTAAATGACCACACTAGGATCCTGTGTTCGTGTTCCCTCGCGAAGATTGTTAGGTGTTTTCCTGGACATTTCTTCAGGATAGACTATATTATCTGATAGAACAGGTCTTCATAATCTTTACTGACATCATTGATGGGTGTGTATCGATGGGCAATATTCATTACAATGTTTTCTTTTTTTGCTTTGGAGTATGTTTCGATAATTCTGTCGCCTTAGGTCTCCCATCTTATAGGCGGTTTTCGTGTTTTTCTGGACAGCATCAGTGCAACTCGTGTATGTGTTGCGCTTTCTTCCTTATGACGAGAATACAACAGTTCTACTGAAATGAAATGATTTCTGTCCAGATTGTGTACATGTAGTTTTACTTATTTCACGCAGATCTGGCTTGTGTATTGTCATTTCTGTGACTTTAGATGATCCGGTTTTTCGCGCAATCTGGACATCCCACACCATTTATTTGTGCTTCTCTGATCGACGGAAGTGGCGTTGCACTTGTGTCTGGTTGTTCAGCAAAGATGTACTACTATAATCTGATTATGACGAGTTTATTGATCAAGTATCAAATAAATTCTCCACTTCATTTAAAAAATATCCCCGTATGAAAAGTACGAATGGCAAATCAGATCTTCCTACAGAGTTTACTGTTTTTACTTTGAACCAAAGTTCTTTATGGTCATCACGTTAATGTGAAACAATACTTAATTATTTGAAGATATGCTGTACTATCAATTGTGTCTCACGAAAATGTAAAATTCATTTTGTCGGGTGTTTGAGTTACGACCTTTAGGCTAGGTTATTTTTTTAAGGAATGCCTAACTGTATGGTAACGCGTCTACATATACGAAGACGAAAAACATGAATAAGGAAACAGTATGAGATGCCTTTGGAATCACAGTGTGGAAAAGTTTACAATTCTGATATTCAATGGCAAGATGTTAAAAGAACTCAGCGACCACTAGTTAAATCACTGCGTTTAAACAGATATTTCGTTTAAAAATCCCCATATTAAAATACTAATATATGAACGATGATCATTCTTTCCAGTAAATCCTCTTTGGGTTCTGCTGTAATTTTTATTTGTTTTACGAACAATCTTAAATTCACATGTTATGGTTTTATATGATGTACTTCTCTTAAACGTAGTCACTCTTTGGATTATTAATTTGAATGTGGAACTGAAAGAAAATTTATTGGAAAATAATACTCCGTTCATATATTAGTGCTTTACTTATCCCTTTTTTCGTCTCACTTTAAACAGTTGGCCTTCACTACATAAAGCTTAAACTACGATTTAGTTTAAGAAATTATGAAGTTGAATAACCTCACTAGAAAAAGTGGTTTCAGATTATACGCTAATTTCTTATGATGATATTTTTATTTTTACGAAATCTGGTGTGTATAACTTGACCGATTCAAGGACTATTCTGCAATGTTTTAAAGTAGCATCATAAGTTGTATCCTGTTAGTGCTACATTTAGATTGTCTACATGATTCTCTCTGGTATAAAATTTTACCGTTTCAAAACCCCTTGAAAAAACTTCCCGTCTATAGAGATAATATGTGCAAACATTCTCGTTGTGATACAATAGTAAACAGGACTTTGTTAACTTGAGTTACTTTTTTCATCTTTTGTCGCAAATTATTTCGGAAAGAAAGCACATCAAATCACTAATCGATCTACAGATTACGTGTATTCAATAATCAATGACCACTTATTTTGTGCCACAATTGCTTCGTACATCAATACGCAAACAATTGAAAGAGGGTATTACCAAGTAGTTTTATTTCCATATAGTTTTATGTTTTGTTTTAACTTATATTCATTGAGGAATTTGTATTCCTAGCAATTCTTACGCTTGTGTTGCAATGCGATTTTGAAGCGTTTATATATATTCCTGACATTTATTGTGTTTATCATTGTAATTAATTTATCTCAATCATTGTTGCAATTCTTCACAACTTCGTGTATTTAGTCATCCATTGTTTAAACACAACGGTTCCCATATTGCTTGTTCTTGGTTCGTTGTTTTGCGTGTTCATAAACTGTTACAAAGTATTGACAGCTGGCTTTTGCACTATCGTATGTTGTAATTTTTCTTTATGTTACTATCACAGGAATCCTTTTTTATCTCAGATAATAATACGCCGCAGACACCTCTCACGTTGAGGCTTGTAACTAACTTTTGTATTTTATTCAATAAAGAACCGGTTTTGTACAAATCGTTATTTTGTAACCTTCGATTTTGCGCGTATTTCAATTGGGTGACTCAACACCATTATTTAGGCAAGTTAGGCTGTATCGTGTACCAGCTCAGCTTTTGGAGATCGCTGGTAACAACACAGGTCAGTAGATTCAGCAGTACGACTTCCCCCACAGGCCTCGAGGAACGACTTTTTCATTAAGTATGACTTGATTAATTAACCACGATAGACTAACCCGACCAGCACTTCAAGGTAGCAACAACGAACAGCTCTTTAAGATAAGTGGTTATGCTAAATAACACGCGTATTGAACAACTCGATTCTTTTCTTGTTTACATTTTTAAAAATCAAAGATCCAATCTTCACTATTTTGGCATAGTTAAACAGCATTGTTGAATCAGTTCGTGACTAAATCCTTGTCCTATGAAGGCATAAGTTTATTAGAACATATTTTAAAAAAAATCAGAAAGGCATTATCAGATATTCTAGACAACATGTGTTTCTCACAGTGAAGAAAAGTAAAACGAGACAGGAGGTTGGAACTTTTTTATTTAAAAGTACCAAAGATAAACATGTAAAATTATACATAACTACAAAAAATCCTTTAAATTTTCTTTGTAAAATACTAGTTTATTTCTAAAAATAAATGTTTTGTTTTCCCTACATTGTAATATTCATGATTGTCCAGTTATTCTCTTCATTCTGCTTCTAAAACATAGAATTGGCTTTTTCGAAACAAACAATAGTAAGAATGAATTGGTGGAACTTTCCCAGCATTATAAACACTAGAACAATTAATAACATTCAGTAGCAATTATTGCTTAAGGTCAAGTTCACAAAATTTTTAGTAAACTGACTGGTGTGTTACTTTTGGGTCAAAATCTTGTAATCAGATTTAATTCATTACTGTGAAATTCAATATTCGTTATTTAAAACTTCGGAACGACCAATCATAAAACGGGTCTCTAACATAGTAGCAAAAGCCTAAATATTAAGTTCAGGAGCCGCGGCAATATGTGAAATCCGGCTTAAGAGGGGGGAATATCGGAGAGACGGTAAATAGGTTTGTTACTGGTTTTATGTCCAAGCAATGAATAATATCAATCCGCAAAAGATAATTATTACATTGAAATTATGAACCACCATTGGAAACCTGGAACCACTAGACAGCCGTTTCGTCACAATATGGGACATCCACGATAACGCTAGCGGGACTTGAGGCGACTGGGTTTTCATCCGACAATGTTAATATCTAGCTTCAAACAATTCATGATGTCGCGCGACCATCTTACATTGTTTTTTGTACCTGCCTCACACTCGATACGGGGACTAGTGAAGTGCTGAAACAGCAACTGGATTTAGCATCTGGAAAAGCATTGACTTTTATAAAATAAATAGTTGTGGACTACTTGGTTAAAGTTAACGTGATCATAGTAACCAATGTTAAGAGATTTTGAATGACATAGACCAAATGCACAGGTGCACACATTTTTTCTCCGAGTGTTGAAATCTTTCTAGATCTTATTTTTACTACAGATACGGTTAATAGTTTAGGATTTCTCTTGAAATATTTTTATCTCGCTGTGCTAATGTGATATGGCAACTTAAACCGATGCCCTTGTGTTAGGTTATACGTTGAGTATGATAATAATGACATCTATAAGGATAGCACACATTCTTGTATGGAATATTATATTACTTAGTGGTTTGTTAACATAATCAACTGTATTATCAATTTCAATACTGAACGGTTGCTAAGCTTTCGGATTAACGCGAGTCAGTCCGAATTACAGATTAATATCACATACTTCTCTACTTAACTCATGCACGTTAGCATTCAACTAGTAGGCACTTTAGAATGACTGGAATACGCAACATAAAATCGGACATTTTTGATTTAAGATGAACATCGACATCATCATGTGTTGATGTCCCGAAGACAACAGTATTCTTCGTGGTCCAAACCCTTAAGGTCACTATTTTTCTGCAAAGTTTTTTTTAAAGATTAATGAAAAACGGCATTCTCTTTAATGGGATTTAGTCAGTGGTGTAATCTGGACGAATTTGTATAACTGGAGTAAGTTTATATTTCAAGTTCAATGTTTTCCGTGCACATAAGATGCAGAAAAAATTATAATCTGATAGCTAAAATACTCTATAAGAAGCATGTTCGTCTAATGTAGCAAAATTACCATCCGAAGAACGTTGGGTGCTATATAAATAGTACGTTGTACGATAGGCTTTCCGATGGTTGGTAGAGAGATGATTATTTATGGTAGGAATGTCACTACCAAAATGCCCTGGTACGCCGAGGGTTGGGAGCATCATCTCTCACTTCAGAAATACTCTCACATGGACACGCGTATACAGCAATTGCGAGAGAACTACTCACTGCCTTTTCGTGGAGAGGGTGCTGTTTACGAAATTGAAAATACGAAAAGCGAATGTCCAGTGCCTGGTGGTGGATATGGAGGACCCATCTAAAAGAGTTAGCTGGAGAACCCTGATTCCAAACCAATGGTGCACATGGGCTCCAGGATCCTGTTTAAACGAAAGGTGTATGAACCTATTGTTAGTCACCGGTTACCATGGGACGGCATTTCCCAGGGTTGCTCTACTGCCTTGTGGATCAGAGCTCTTGGTCAAAGTTTCAGGTAGTGGCTCCCTAAGAAGAACACCTACTCTGGTTTGCGCACCCGAGTAGTGTTCCAACTCTCGCAGAAATCGAATAATTTGTGTGGCGCATATGTATTTGATGCCTCATTGTACCAATGTTTGTTTGAATAAACACGACGATGGAACACCATACTGATACACTTGTCAAAACAGAAAAAAGGTAGAAAAATTTTCGACCAGTTTGGAATTTCCTCCGGACGCTACTGGAATCACGTTCATTAGGGAATCTAATGTCTTCTGTGAGACTTGTAGGTATCATCAATACCTACGAAGTTCGAGAGTCGACGAGGTGCAGTTTTTTATATACTGTCGGCAAAATAGGATTCGAGATCGTCACGTACGTACTTATATTCATTATTGACAATATAAATAGACAACCAATCATTTTCAGGAAAAAACACGGTTAAAATATTCATTTACACAAAGCATAATCTATTACTACCTGCATAAAATAGTTGGGAAATCCAGACAACAAGAACGGCGTTAACAGTAAAAAATAATAAAATGTCTGTACATCTAAGATAAGTAATGAAAACGTGTACGTCATCGTAACCTCACTTAGTGGCTGTTTTATTAATATGATACATTGAATGAAATTCCTCAAGTTCAGTGATTATGTTTAAAAACTAGAATGGAGAACGAACTTATTATTTAGAACTTTACTAACACTTCGAAAGGATCGTAATTCAGAGAGGTGAGCTACGTAAGTTATCAAAACTTAAAGACAAATATCGAGATCTTAAAAATACTAATTCAACAGGACTAAGTGAATATCTGAAGTGTAATGGTTGGCAAACGCAAACCAAATATTGGTCCACGCTATTATTTTTTAAATAACATTTCACACTAGAGATATGATCAACTTATTTCAAGTTTTATTACACTGTTTGGAGCAAAAATCAATACTTAAGTTATTAGAATAACTGAGTGAACCTGTCAGATTGATCGAAATGGGATTAATTATTGCCACTTTAATATCATTAATATATAACGCTGAAGTGATTTTGAACAAATATTTGTGGTTTACAGATAACTAAAGAACAAATCACTGGCGAAACTGATCAGTTAATCTTCAACGAAACATGATTAAATCCCTAACTCCGAGTTGGTGTGATCAAAGCTCTACAAGTCAGTCACAACGTATAACCTGGTACGTATGTGCATCAGTTGAAGTAGTTATACTTCATTACCACAAAAAATTGAATTGTCAGGCCGATTGTCAGAATATTAGAGGTGGTAACAACATCAGTGCTAATAAAGAAATTAGGCGTCGAAGATGATATTTGAAAAGAAAATATAAGGTTATGGGAAATTTAGGATCTCAAAATTCGGAGAACGGATGCATCTGCGCCATTGTATACAATTTTGAACCATGTTATCCATACTTCCAAACCATTGGTTTCGATAACCACGCGGACCCCAAACAATCAATAGTCTACACCTATTAACATAGCCAAGTTCAGTTGTTAGCGACTTCATGAACTGATTCCGTGTTTTGGTTTGGCCGCTTTCATAGCTTTCTTACAACCTTCCTTATACTGGAAAACATCGCCCTTTGAGGTAGGCAGTGGTCGGGCACATGCAACATATGTTCCAATCACCTCAGTTTATGAAGAATCATCACCTCATCAATCGACTGGACAAACTAAATAAGTAAAGATTGACATCAAATCCATAATCCAGTAGTTTAAAAAGATCGAGTGCTTCAACAACTAATTCATTACTCGACAAAGAGGATTAGATTTCGATGTCACTATTTCTAGTCCATATGAACAGTGATCATCTTTTTAACTGGTCCACAAAGTCACATGTTACAAAAAACACGTTTATGATAAAATAATCATAAATCGTTATTGAACATAAATAAATCACAACTATTCACTTGCAAGAATGCCTTGGGATTTAAATCAGAAAAAAATCAAAACGCTCGGATTGCCAGTTTATAACTTCTCCAAAGTTTAGAACTTCATTTCTTCTCAAATCCAAATTACAAAAAGGCTGTTATACCTCGCATTCTAATGAGGAAGATGTGTCAATTTGTTCTGCTGAGGTTTCGTTCTCTGAGACGTGAAGTTTTCATTATTTAACTGAACGAATTCAGCATAAACTTCAGTTAGAAGTGAGGTATACGAATTTCTCCACATATGGTTGACAACTTGTTCTGTCAATTGGTCATTTTTTACTTTTATCCTGTCGTAGTGTCCATACTTTGATTTTTTCCACCTATTACCTGAATCCCAGTTTATATTTACTCATGGTTAGAAGCATCTGCGCATTAAATAGGTCCTGGCAATGATCAATATAAGCATAGCCATTGAGGACTTCAGATAGTAATATATAGCCTTTGATCATCAAAACAGAACTACGTTCATTACGCCTTAAGTTACACGCATTACTCCAAAGGAAGATGTTTGAACACCCAATTCAACAAGCTTAAAAAAATCAGCTTCGAACTTTAGAAAGCTAAGAAACAATAGTGAATTTTTATCGATTAATTCTCACGTTTGGAGAAAGAAAATATTAAATAACACAACATATATAATCAACTACAGAATATCTTATAACACAACATATTGTCACTCACTCCATGGTCGACATTCAAAAGGAAATCCACTAAATACATTGTTTTTTAACATCATAATAAGTGGCCAATTGAATCCTTGTTTTACGAAACGAATAAACACATTTCTAAAATAACAATAATAATAATTTAAAAAACTAGAAGAAACAATAAGATTGATTATTGTCAATCATTGTGTTAATGATTAGACATTTACACGTAGTCAAATTATCTTTCTAAATGATAAAAACATGTGAAACCGTAAGTTCGTAATACAATATGAAATGGTGATTTATTGCTTTTCAGTTCTCAGTGATTATCCAACTAACGATGGTTTGTGATGAAAAAAAATCTTCAACACGTACATTTCTTGAAAAATTCTAGTTCGATGGTGATAAGAATAAATCTTTTCATAATAATAAAATCGAAGTTGTTTATACACTCACCTAGTGACTAAATCATTATTAGGTATTGAATGATAATCAATTATAGTATTTTCAGGAAATTGTTTACGAATTTTATCATCGTCAATGTTTGATAGTACTCTAACAAGTTCAAACCCATGAATATCTTGTGTATCATCAGCACCACAGGATTCATAATGAAGAGTTGATTGAACACCAATTATAGCTTTAATAGTCTGACCTCCAATTAATTTGTGATGACAATCTTCAAATACATCTTCGAGATCTTCTGAACATTGAAATTTTAGCAAACATGACCTAAGTTATTATGTAGTAAAAAAAACAACAGCAGAAAAAACAAATATTATAATAGTTTGTTGAAAATTATTTATTAAATATACTTTCGACCACAGTGATTGTATACGTGTGAAAAATATTGGTAGTAGTCATTTCAACTTGTTTAAATATAACAGATGGATAGAATAAGAGACTTGTATGTAAGAGGAGTTAATATCATGAACAATTAAGTATTCTGCAACTTAACTGATAAAAGATTGATAGCAATTTATACAGTTAACAGCGGTATACATTGCAAATCATTAATACAATACAGTTTAGTAAAGTGAAATTTAGGTTGAACATTTTTGTGACTGCCAGGACACAGTGTAGATGTTCAAACCGAAGTATGCAAACGAAGGTTTGCACTAAGGAGTCAATAGTTGGACGGTGAGTAGTTTGAAAAGCAAATCACTGCTCCAATTTACATATATTCAAATTTAAAATATGCCACAGCATATCACTTATCAAAATTAAGTGGGAACCAGGGGCTATATTTTCAGGGTTAAATGGTGCTATTGGGCATAACTCTACTCTTTAGTAAGTTGATACACTTTCTGTGAGATTTGATTCAACATTGCCTAGCATGACGATACATTTCCATTCACAATCACATTTATTTATAGTGCTATGCTAGCACTGATTTATGATATACAGTTCCATACAATTGGTTCTGAGCTTCACTTTCAGTATGAAGACCGGTGACGATAACAAGCCGCTAAGCCGAAGTAGTTGGATCAACGTTTAACTTGCAACCAGGCGATTTACTTTAGAAGCATCACCTTAAAGTTCCACGTAAGAAATATCACTACTGATCTACTATTGCAACTACTATGGAGGACACCGAAAACCAATATTTCTGTGTACAATCAATTTTTCCGAATCTCCATAAAGTTGGACAGTTTATGAAATAAAATAGGGTAGAATCAAAGAATTTTGACGCGAAGTTATATACTCTCTGTTGGTCGTTATCTTCGAATGCAAATCAGACAAATTGAATTGTAATATCTAATAAGCACACGATTACACAATGGTAAACGTTACTGATCAGTTTCCGGAAACAAGTAAACGTTCACTTTAAAAAAGGTCCCTAGTTAGTCAGGGTATTAACGTCACTTAAAATGATAAAATGAAGATCAAAATAGTTTACCTTTTCTGTACATCCCATATATCAGTTTTTAATTTTATAGATACTGCTGTAGGAAATTCTACTTTAAGCTGAGTTAGTGTAGTCGACTGAGGCAGGTTTTGAACAGTTAATTCAACATTTTCTGGCTGAATTACATTTTTGGATTGTGATGGTCGACAAATAGATTTTACAGTTGGCTAAAGTAAAACAAAGAAGAATCAAGTATAGTATGTAAAACGAGAATGTTATCATTTCGCGGTAAAGTAACTTTAAATGCACGTTAATCTCACACTAACAGAAAATTATTCATGTGTGATACCAAGATAAGATGCTAAACGTAGTTCAATTTACATCAATAAATGATCATATTCGGTGTAATAAATGAGTAATAAAGTAAAGACTAATGAGAGAATTTTTTGACTGGCTATTTAAAGTTGTTACAAAAATACTTTACAAACAACTAGATAAGCGAGGAGGGATAATTAATTGATCTGTGACGTTTTTATAAGTGTATGGAACATTATGAAAACAGGTGAAGCACATATACTTTAGAAAAAGCTTCATGTCTAAATACTCAGTCCTAGAAATTGTTCCTCACTCCCGATGGAATTACGAGACCAGAAACTTTCTTACTAGTTTGGAGATACTGAGTGCAGACTGATCTGAATACGCCTATTTGATCACCAAACAGTAATCGTTTACCATTTTTGACTAACAAAATACACCTGAAACATAGAATTAATAAACTCCATGGACAGTGTTTTAATATGACTGAAGTGACTTTTTTTGTCATATTCATGGATTTTAAATGTTGTTACTCTTGGTCAATCACTTTTAAACTGAGTCATATCGGGACGTGCAAATTTATTGACCATAATCTATGAAATGACTACAATCTATGGTTCAAAATTTTGGGTCTCATGGCTCACAATTGGTTGTAGTGAGTATTCATTACTCATCTTTTTTTCCGCTCGATTCTTAAGTAGCAAAACTAAATCATATTTTTTATCCTCTAATTTTATTAGTTATTTTTTAAATTGCGTTCTCCATCAAGTCTATCACTTTCATTGGGATCATTATGTCGACACATCTGGCCTTATTTAACGATGCCTTTTTTATCCTGATATGAAATGTGGCAACGTCGCCTGATGCACAATTTCACCACGTCCTTTGCATCCTCTGATTGATCTAGTGATAGTTAACTACCGACTTTCCCGAAAATAAATGTGCTTCATTAGAAATAGCACTATCACAGTAGAACAGAATATTTACCAAAACATTTGTTTAACATTATCAATAGAGAATTAACAAAACTAGTTATCTAGAACACTCGACCATTTATTGATGAATTAGTGGTTCATATTGTTTTAATTTATTTCTGGTTTATTTATAATTCACTTTAATTTGATATTAGGTTCATTTTAAACAAACAATAGTGAATTTACTGAAACTTTACGTTATTGATAGATGATAAATCCTAACACACTCTGTAGTGCATTGGGTAGATTTTTGTAGTGGTGGGTTAGTCCCAAGAAAAACATCAGCAATCCTGTTCACTTGGTATTGTTTTTGCGTGTATCTTCCCATTGAGGTTTAAGACTGCAATTTATTAGTCGGTTATTGCATACGTGCATACTGTGCGTATTGCCTTAATTCACAAGCTATATAAGCAAAGATGGAAAGTGGCTAGCAGTGGAATCTCAGAGTGAACATCAACTCTGAGATGCAGGTACATCCGGCTGACGAGTCCTGAATAGGGCGAAACGTGAGTCCTGGATTCCACTGCTGGCCACCATCCACATTTGCTTATCAGCAATCCTGGTTGTTAAATAAGACACAACGAGAAATGTAAATGTAAACTCTATTGGCAACGATTATTGACTAATCAACTAGAGATTACAGTTAACCCTAACTGTGCTCATATCCTCTAGTTCTACATATATGACGTTCGAACTCCAATTTATTTTAAAATTTTTAGGTAACCTAACAACATCACTAGGCTTAATATAATATAAGTGCTTTATAACCTAGTTTATTGAGTCTGGGTATCGCTGGTGAGTTATATTTCTGATCAAATTATTAAATTATCAGCTACACCTACAAGTTTGTGATTACAATACAAACAATATTAACCAACAAATATGAGTGACAGGATATTAAACAAATGATTCAGTGGATAATTTACAGTAATTATACTGTTCATAAAACTAAATAACTAAAATCGAAAATGTTACTTATAATTTACTCAAATAGATGGTACAGTAAAGTGAGGAGCAATTATAGACCAGATTGGTTGATAAAATAGCAAACCATTCAGACAAATTACAAAGTAGGAGAAGGTTAACTGTTTGCCGATACAAAGATAGGTGATTTTTTATTTGTATCTATACAGAATTACTTGTCATATCCACTATACCAATAAAATTGAAGTCAGTCAGTTGGTCATACGCAACACAGAACCAGGCACATGTAAGTCGCGGTTTAAGCTTTCATACTCCATTAGCACAGTGAGATGGAATTGTCACGACGAATCCCAGAGTAGCAAAGGTAGTAATGGTATTATTGGTAATTGAAAAGTTTATTCAAGAAAATATAAATTAAAAAATTAAAGAAAGATTTGACTAGAGGAAGAACAATTAATGTAGCATAGTAATATGAATTCATTATATTTCGCTGTTTATCATTAGCTGCTCACAACCTAAACATAATAGTATCAATTGCACGCCATCTGCATGACAGTGCTCATGGTAATACTGTCTCGAATTCCTTCAAAATAAATAATAAACAAAGAACGTCAGATTTTCTACGGCTTCCCCAATCAGCTGCCATGAATAGACTCAAACCAAATTTATGTATTCAGAAAGACTCAGTTGTCAATCGTGCTTTGCCGCGGTAAACTCATCCATAAATTTTCGTTGAGCAATTCGGTTTTAATGAGACTAATTAATACTCACATCTTATCTGATGAGTACTCAGTTAGTTAATTTTGTTACAAGGATTACATAATTATAGCATTAACTTACTATTTCTAAATAACTCTGTTTCTATGTTTTTATTTGTTTATTCTTATGATATTCTTATATTAAACCTATAAATATTAACATTAATTTACATATGAACATCTCTTATCGCTACTTTCATTAATTTGCATTGATGAGAACTCTTTCGATATTATGATATAAAATATGTACACTGATTTTTAAAGATTAATACTATTATGTTTAAATTGTAAACAGCTGATGAGAAACAGCGAAATATGATGAATTTATATTATTCTGATACATTAATTGTTCTTGTCTTAGTCAAATTTACAAATAAAAAAGAGCATTAAAAATATTACAAAGAAACTAGAAACTTAGGATCCAAAGGAAGCCAAACAGCGAACGTACCTGCACCACTGAGAACGATCTTGAACCATCTCATTCAAAATTCCTAGGTATTGGCTACGGTAATCACATGGACCCCGACAACCAGGTAGTCTACGCCTAATTACATGACTCCGTCTCACAGTCAGTTTCTTTGCTTGAGTTATATGGATTGAATTAAGGCACGCTCCGAGTGTGATTGTGTTGGAGCACACTGATTGGTCATTTCCTAGTTAGTCAGCGTTAGTAGGTACTTAGAGAAGACTCTAGGGCCTTCTTGAGTGAAATTATCAATATACTAACGTTTTTCTTATTGTGATCCCTATTTCCACTCAACCTTGTTTATTTGGAATATAATTGCGTTCCTGTTCAACCGTGTTCTAATTTGGGGACTTGCCGAGTGAGGTATTTTTCGAAAAATACTAACCAATAATCGTAGCTGGGTCGTAATGAAACAGTTTATAACAGTGAGGAAAAAGAAAGACATATTTGATATGCCGATATCAGATGACAAGCTCAATTGAATTCTGCAACAACAGCGAACACAACTAAATGCACAAATTCGGTTGTTAGAAACTCTGACGCAACGACTTAACATTCAGTGCCCGAGTTCATATGCTATGTCAACTACTTCCTGTGGTGCAGTTACTAGTAGCATTCCAGAATTCAACTATGACCCCGTAGTGGAAATACCTTCCTCACATGGTTAAGGCGTTGGGAAAATACATTTAGAATACGATTATGCAAACAAGATGAAACGTGGAAGACTTGATTGTTGATGCGTTAGTCGGAAAGCAATGGACATGCACGCTATGCTATACAACAGATAGACCAGAACGTGGTCTAAATATGTTAGAAAAACTTGGAATAATGGATATACACATTACGTGTCTGCAGAGTGTCCTGTTCAACAGTGGACACTCCTACATTTGAAAAAATAAGTGGAAGGTTGTCAGATAACCTAAGGAAAAAGTTTGCTTTTTTGCAATCACCTTGATTACTGGTCCAACATGAAAGCTCATTTACTAGTGAAACTAGGTGCTAAACCTATTTTCCGTACGAGACGTCCTACGCCGTGCGCTGTTCTTGAACTAATCGATCAGGAACTTAATCGTTTGCAACAAGCTGGTGTGATCGAACCAATCAACTACTACGCATGGATCACACAAATCGTAGTGATTAAGAAGGCTAATCCAATTATACGTATATGTGCCGATTTCCCAATCGATTTAAACGCTGCACCGGACATATATCAGTATCCGTTACCAGGTCCTGAGAACCTGTTCGGTAAGCTTAATGATGGAACATGTTTCGCGAAAACAGACTTTTCCGACGCCTACCTGTAAGTGGAAGTAGATAATTATTGTAGACAGATTCCAAATATCGATACTGATCGAAGGTTTATTTATAACACCAGCCTACCATTCGGTGTCAAGACTCTACCCGTTATCTATCAGTAAATAATAGATACGATGTTAACAGCTTATCTATATGAGATCATTGTTATGGTTTCAAATAACAGTGAACTTCTAGATTGACCACTACTCCTTAAGTCACTTGCAGTTAATGCCGTATCACGAAGATTAATTCGCTTACATTGTTACTTACTAATAATGTACCTCTACTTGTATCAATATCCGACTTCATTTCTACTTCTTTTAATGAAACTAGTTTCGTGTTAGCATAATTACGCATCGAAGACCAAGTTACGAATAATTCGATTTGCTGCTGTTAATAGAGCTCTGATGTGAGGACTCGAAGGTCTCCAAATGGGAAGTTTATTATAAGATGAAACTATCTCATTCCCGTATATGACATAATTTTGTCGAGTTATGCCATCTAGACAATAGGAAAAGAATAACCAGGCAATATGTACTACTTCACAAGGGTCATTGCTTATCTTGCAATTAGGACTTAAAAATATTTGCTTAGACGACCACCAGAACATGAGTTCAAACTAATACTGGTGACACTGCTATGTACTATTATACAAGTTCCTATTGTTTTTCTAATTTCCATTATGCTCACTAACTTTTATAGAACGTCCATGTAATTTTTCGAAGCTGTTACTTAGGAATTTTACAGAAGATGAATTTAGTTGCATTTATAAAAATCTATTGAGATTCATTGGATTGTATAAAGACTAGTCCAAACAATAGTATGGCGAAAAAATATCAAGAAATAGGTATCTACGACGTTATTTCTTGAGAACCAATAAATCTGACATCTGTATTGTGCTTCTGGGTATTACTGAACACTAAGTGTTAGGGTGAATGAAACATCACATAGGATTGTTTATAATTCATATCATTGATTGCTTTTTAGTTAGTAGATTTGTGTAATTTCATTCGTTAGCTATAATATATTGTCTGACCAATCACAGTGAGAAAACAGTTTTTTATAAAATACTTCGATAGACGACGAATAGATCATTTGAAAACTTGTGTATTTAGCTGCGAAGTAAATACATAGTTTGACTAGTGAATAAGCTATTATTTATTGAAAATATAAAATACAGCAAACTTTTTGATACTACCTTAACTCCATTGAAGTCGACTCTTCTTAAACGACGTAATGCATCTGTATAGCCCTTCACAGTAGAAAATGTGATAAAAAATGTTTGCTTGTGTGAACTGATTTTTTTAGCCGAAGGTATAATACTCCTCAGCATTTTGTCATCTACATCCACCGGTAAATTTCTGATTGAAATAGACTGAACTTTGTCCTGACCATTTGTTTTACTTAGGCGATTCATGACAGGAAAGTCAGGATTGGCAGACATGTTAATCTGAATAACGGGTCGCTCTAAAGTATCTTAACTATCATTTGATAAAAATTTCGTAGAGCAATTCTGACCTGTAGACAAAATAAAATTCTCACGTTATACTTTGCATTATAGCCAAAAATATTTGCTGATTAAGCTTTCAGAAATATTATAAAGGCCTGTAGAACAATAGAAAAAATTAAGGCTGTGACAAAGCTATACTTTAAAAAGGGAAAAACATGCATTCGTTATTGATTGGGCTATTATGACATGGTTCTATGTAATCTCCAGATAAGCTACGTATTTAGGAACATGAATTAATAAACTAACGGTGAAACCTCTTAATTTGAGGAAAAACCACTAAAATTTTATATGTTCACAATAATCAAATACTTAAAAAGCATTATTTTTGTATTGTGTCTAATAGTATTATATAAAAGAAAGTGAGGTGTTCAACATGACGAGGGGTTTAAAGGCAGATTAGTTTGGCACACAAGTCCCTATGTCTTGTTGGGATATAGGACGCCATTGCGTTACGATGTTATATATAAAACCTTGAGCTTAGAATAGCGCATAGACTTGTTCTTAAATATAGTTTGACAATTAGAAAACCATTAAAAATGACAAATCTTGTCCTCAGTTATGTCGTTAACTGATCCCATAGGTCTTATTGCTTTAGATGCCCCCAAATGCCCTGATATGGCCGAGAGTGGGGTGGGCCCACCCTCCATCTCGAAATGCTCTCACACGGCCACGCGTATCCAGCCTCCGCCAGGGAAGTGCTACTCACTGCCTTCTCGTGGCAGGGGTATTGTTTACGAAAATGAGAGGACGAAAAGCGAATGTCCAGTGCTTTAACTGGATTCCAAACCAATGGTGCACATGGGCTCCAGTATCCTGCGGGAACAAATGGCGTATGAACCAATCGTTGGTCACTGGCTTTCATGGGACTGCATCTCCTTAGGATGCTCCACTGCCTTGTGGATCAGACCTTCAGGTCGAAGGCTCGGGGGTGACCCCCTAAGAAAACCACCTGCTTCGGTTTGGGCACCCGGGCAGTATCACAGCCCTCACACATATCGAATGAGATTTATGTGGTGCATATCTACTTGGTGCCTCCTTGTACCAATATCCATGTGTTTAAATAATAAATAATAATATTGCTTTAGATTGCCTTCCATCCAAGTAGCATATACAAAAGCTGTGAGAGAATCGTTCAGGATGAGATTAAACACAAAGCTCTTCGAAGGCCTCAGCGTGTGGACAGAGTAAAATTTCTCTATGCATTAGATCAACTTACCGTTTAAAAAAATTAGAAATGATGTCACCGGTGAGGATGAAAAGGTGTCATTCAGTCAGTCAGCTACAACGTAGGACCAGGCACATATATGCATCGGTCCAAGTTACCATACTTCATTAACACAACAAGATGGACACCGGATTCATAAAAGTAGTTAATTCAGAGGTGGTAATATATAAAAGAAAGATTGCAATAAGGATATAGTACAGGAAGAAAGAATTAGTTCATAGAACGAAATATATGAAGCGATTTTAATCTCTTAGTTTAAGGGAAGACAGAGAGTGTATACACCGACGCCATTGTGATCGATTCTGAGTCATGTCACCAAGAGTCTCCAGCCATTGGTTACGATAGTCAGTCAGTCAGTAACAACGTAGAACTTCGTACGTACGTACATCAGTTCAAGTTGCCACACCAAATTAGCACAGAGATGCAGTGGTCGATTCAAATCCCGTAGTGGTAGAGGTAGTAAGAGCATAAGCAGTAATCGGGAAGATTAGGGTTCGGAGATGTTATTTAAAGAGTATAATCCAGTGAAATAAATTTAGAAAGAGGAAAAAAAGACATGAAGCATTCAGAAGATTAGAATTTGGGAGAACACAAAGAGTGTATGCACCTGCGCCATTGCGAACGATTTTGAGCCATGTCATACAGGGTCTCTAACCATCAGTTGCTATCATCTCGCGGACGCCAACCAGGTAGTCTACACCTACCAACATGACTCAGTCCACTTGTCAGTTACTTCATGGACTTGTGCCATGTTTTGGTCTGGCCGCCTCTAGCTTTCTTACAACCTATTCCTATACCACTGAACATCGCCGGTCGAGGCAGTCGGTCGTTGGGCATACGTAACACGTGTCCCAGCCATCTCAACTGATGAAGTCTCACTAGTTCATCAATTGATTTGCCATCCTTACCTAGTACCCGTTTCCTAACAACTGTGTTACTTACTCGATGGTCCCATGATGTACTAGCAATGTTTCGAAGACACCTATGATCGAATAATTACCATAGTCACGTGGACTCCAACCAAGTAGTCTGCATCTTCCAACATGGCTCAGACTAGAAGTTAGTGACTTCAAACACTGATGCCACGTTTTGGTTTGACCGCCCCCTAACTTTCTTCCAACCATCTCCAGCACCGGTTAGCACTGCACGTCGTGGTAATCGGTAAATAAAGAAGGAACGAATTGAGCGAAGAAATTTCTTTTCAATTAGTTTTTCATCATGGCTCATATATATATTACAATAATAATATTATTTATTTATTTATTTAAACAAATAAACATTGGTACAAGGAGGCATCAATAGATATGCACCACATAAATCTCATTCGATATGTGTGAGGGCTGTGATACTGCCCGGGTGCCCAAACCGAAGCAGGTGGTTTTCTTAGGGGGTCACCCCCGAGCCTTCGACCTGAAGGTCTGATCCACAAGGCAGTGGAGCATCCTAAGGAGATGCAGTCCCATGGAAGCCAGTGACCAACGATTGGTTCATACGCCATTTGTTCCCGCAGGATACTGGAGCCCATGTGCACCATTGGTTTGGAATCCAGTTAAAGCACTGGACATTCGCTTTTCGTCCTCTCATTTTCGTAAACAATACCCCTGCCACGAGAAGGCAGTGAGTAGCACTTCCCTGGCGGAGGCTGGATACGCGTGGCCGTGTGAGAGCATTTCGAGATGGAGGGTGGGCCCACCCCACTCTCGGCCATATTAGGGCATTTCGGGACACAATAATAATATAATACTCATCGAGTGGATACGTTACGTAATAATTACACAATGACATTTAAATTAACATTGAGTAATTGGAAGAAAGAGGATTATTAATATTCAAAGTAATTATTAAATCAAGAAGTTGCTATGTTGCGTAATGTATGACAAGAGAAGGAACAAAATTTTAACGGATGGTCAATAGGATAGTTGTTACGTAAAAATCAAGAGATGAATGTTGAGAAGTTATAAAGTTCAAAAGCAACGGAAACAAAATAATCGGTGTTCAGACTTACGTAACACGTGGCCCAACCATCTCAGTCGATGAAGATTCACAACTTCGTCAACTGATTTACCATCATTCCCCAATAATCTGTGTATAACCTCAGTATTACTTATCCGGTGATCCCAGCAGATGCCATCAATATTTCAAGGCATCTGTTGTTAAATACTAGTAGTTTACGAGTATCTTCTACCATTAATGGCCATGTTTCGGAGCCGTAAAGTAAAACAGAACGAACTGCTGAGCAGCAGACTCGTCCTTTTATTGATGGACGGATATCTCGCCTTCGCCATAGGTGGCGTAAGTTGGCAAAAGACAAACGAACCCTTCGAATCCGTGCTGAGATTTCGTCAGACACCGACCCATTAGGGCTGATCAGACTTCCAAGATAGGCGAAATTGACTACTTCACTCCCTATCCTTAGTTCAGGTGTTGACGCAGACCAGCCCTGAAGTAACAACTTGCACTTAGAGGAGAGGTGGAACTGTATGTAAATGAGGACACATTACAGTCAGGATATAGAACAATGACTTACATGTAAATCAGTATCGAGAAACGATTTCTATATTGTACGCTAATCAACGGTAACTCAAGCTGTCGAACCGAAATAAGTGTTGGACGCCACAGTTTTGAACGCGTAAATAGGCGGATATTAGAAGAAAGACTCTAGTAACCTACTTTGTGAAGTGATATTTTCCTCTCTTATATAAGGCACACAAATAATTGGTACAGAAAGTATGCAACAAACTAAGTAGCTGTAGTTCATAAGTTCTAATTCATCACCTTATCTCATGATTTTGAGTGGGCTGTATTAAAAAAAAACTGGGAAAATGCGACAAGAAACCTAAACAATTTCCCTGGTTTGGAGTTTTTTCTAAAAATACAAGCTAGATGTGTGTGCGACAACAGACATTTTGATGTTGGGTACAATGGCGTAATTGTTTTCGAATTGCGTTAAATTTGCGAAATTAACTAAAGATAAAGAAAGACGTTTATATGCAAAGAACATTCTGGGTACTTCTCAATAAAGACCATATAACTTCTCGAGAACGTTGGGAAAATTTTCAGGTTTTCTCGAGAATACTCAGTAATTTCGGTGTTCTACTAAATAATATAGATGGATTTCCCCAAAGTTTTTGTAGATTCTGGGGAAATAATCAGAATGCGAAATTTCCCCATTTATTTTATTTATTTATTTGAACACATAAATATTAGTACAAAGGGAACTGAATACATATGCGCCACAAAAGTCACTTGATTTGTTCATGGGCTGTGATACTGCCCAAGTACCTAGACCGAAACAAGTAGTTTCCTTAGGGGGTCACGCCCGAGGCCTTCGACTTATAAGTCTGATCCACAAGGCAGTGGAACAATGTCAGGAGACGCAGTCGCGTAGTAGCCAGTGACCAAAGATTGGCTCATACACCATTTGTTCCTTCAGGATACTGGAGCCCATGTGCACCGTTGGTTTGGAATCAAGGGTTTCCAACTTTCCTAGGTGGATCCACGATATCCATCAACCCGGTTAAAGCACTGGACATTCACTTTTCGTCCTTTCAATTTCGTTAACAAACTCCAACTGCGATAAGGCAGTGAGTATGAGTTTTCTGGCAGTGGCTGTATACTCGTGGCCATGTGAGAGCATTTCTAGAGCTGACTCTCCCCACCCTCGGCCGTACCATGGCATTTGGGGGCCCAGGTGTTTTGGGTATTTTTGAGGGAAACTCTAAACCAGGGAAATTACAGGTTTTCTGTAGCGTTTTCGTAATTTCTCCTAATATAGCCTTCTCAAAGTTTCCCCAACACTGTTGGAATTTCTCGAATAGTGATTAGAAAAGTTGCACGCACTTCCTACGGCAAGAAAGTTAGTTTAAGTTTCAACCCAGGCTTGCCGCTGAAGAGAAGCAAGAAGAAACTAGCAAAGCCTACAATATACCAATTATCACTTACCAACACTTTATTGTCAGGGTCAGAGTTTGCTACTTTCATAATTCTTCGTTCGAGTTATTCAATTTCCAATATTTTGCTGGGTATCTTTTTAGATCGCATAGATTGTTTCACTTTGGCTTCTTGACGTTATGAAGCTATTCATCTGCATTGCATGCTTATTCTTCCTAGCATAAAATATTATTTTTTAGTAAATATGCGTCAAGTAAATCTATAACTCTATGAATACGAATACCTTAAGGTATTGAGAAGTCTTGAAGTGAGGTAAATGCAGAAATATACAATTTTCTGAGGTTTCCTCTTGAAAATGCTTGTTGATTGGGGTCACAACAAGGAAGCTAGTGATGGGAATAGACAATGCGCTCTTAAAAGTGATCGACTAACATTTGTAGCAGTCAGTGATTTTACGCGCCTACATGGTCTATCCTGACTTCTGGTTAGATAAGAAGTGAGCTTTATGCAAAAACTGGTTTTCACTTGGAGGTTACTAGCTGATAATAAGGCTTCTATATTGGTAGAAGTTGTTAAAAAGTGGATTTTCTGTTCAGATTGTCAGCCAATTTCGAGCGTTGACTTATCGAATTTCGCTTAGAAATAACAGGCTGAAATTCTGGAAACAACCATCTTCGCGGAGACTCATCTAGGGAAAAGACGGCATTTTCCTAAATTTTGAGTTCAATCTATGGTAGTTTTTATTCCCAGTCCTGGGATAATTTTCATGCTTTTTGTTTGAGTTTTGTGAATTTTCAATTGATACTACCGAAATCGATCAATTTTTCTCCGAGTTAAGAGCTCGAACGGTTTACGTTAAAGATTTTGATCAAATTTCTAATGTTCAAGGCGTTATTTCCATTAAGGGTTTTGATTATTGGTTATAAAAGCATGAAGAAACGGTAAGAAAAATACCTGTTGTTCGCTGAAGTTCAGTTCTACACAACGACATGCATGCTAATTCAGTCATTGCTGATATATTCGGTATTCAGATTGAAATCTTATGTATTTTCAGACATCGCGATTTGAAGTAGGAAACGAGATGGTAGTTTCACTAACTGTGGTACACAGAGTGATCACTCAGCGTAACTTCTCGCTTTTATCATCAATAAACTATTCTATCCACAAACCAAATACGTTAATAAATTTTCCATAATAACTATGTTACTGGCTGTCATTGAAGATGCCACAGGCATTCGGATTTTGACAACACTTCAACCAGTAACACTTTGTGTTATGAATCGTACCTACAAGGTGAAATCTAAAGACAGAAGCGAGGAGGTTCGACGATACATTTGATAGGCTATCAATATATCGAGGACCGTCTGATCTAATCTGGCTAGCGATTGCAGGGGTTGTTGAGCAGGGCTTTCCCACTCGTGATCTGGTGCGGATGAATGACCGAGCGCCTTCAGCTAGGTGAGTCCATTAAAATTAATGTGATCAGCATTCAATGTTGAAAACTTACAGAGCTATTTATTTTGGGGATTTATTTACCGCTACATCATAAAAGGACCAGTCGGTACAGAAAATATTGTGACTTCTGCGCAAGATCCCGTGGAGTAGGCAGTAATGTCATGGCAAGCCCGCAATATTGCATTAAGCCTACTTTTCTAGTAGCATAGATAACTGGATTATTATCGATTTAAACTTAAAGCCTACAGGTTTATGTGGAATGTTGATTCTATGATTGCTCTTCAGTATTGTCAGCTAAATTCCTCGCGTCGTTCAGAAAAGGAAAGTCATTTCGGACGAGATGGGTCAGGTGCGCGTCACAATTGGATCATTTCCATCTGCTCTTCCAGATACTTGAAATATCTCAAGAAGAAACCGAACCGTAAGCGCAGGAGATATTTTGGGTTTCCACATTGAATTATTACAGAACGTTGTATATGAGCAGGAAATCATTTATTATAGTACGTTATCCATAAGTTGTTTTCATAATCCCGACATAAAAGTTGACTTGTTTCAATTTCCTCATAAAATGAATTAAAACTAAACAACTGAACTAGTAAGAAATGTAACTGATCAGCTACAAATATGTCATGCAATGAAATCGGCAAACAACACAGATAATCAGGTCAAAAAAGCGAGTAAAGCTAAGATTACGTAACAATCATAATTTTCCAAGTCCATCGGTCTGAAAGAAATCAACAATAATTTTCAATATGTATTTTCTAGCGATAAATAGATGGAACAGACATATTGATAGACACACGAGTCAAAACTGGATGGACATAAACAGGTGCATCACAACAAAAAATTCGCGATATGAATATTTTAGCACATCACGTCCACATTTCTCTTTAGTCCTTCATGAAAGTACTTTCGATTGGTCCACTTGCAAATTATGAACCAGATAACGAAAGAGCCAGGTCTCACTTCAAGTACCAAGGTTTATTCGCGGCTTACAAATAACCAACCTAAATATATTGTTCTAAAAGATACTGCAACAATGACGCAGCGAACCTTCGGTATTAAGATTTCTGAAACATACTTCCGAAATGCCGAACCTAAAACGACGTGCAACAGAAAGTGCCCGAGTTCATAGTTATAAACACACAAGTTCAAAAGGTGAGTAAAACAAATGTATCCACAACACAGTAAAATCATTGATATTTAGTGTGATAGTTATTGATTACTCAAATACTCTCAGTCCTCCCTGTATTATTCTAATCATTATTTGCAAGCAACTCATTAGAACATAATTGTCGTGAAGAAACCCAAAGTGCTTTCTTCAAAAATGTAGTTGTACACAAGTCTCGATAACGTTTGGATAGTATTCACCATATGTAAACTGGGTTTGTAGAAGAGTACTGAGTTGACTTTAAAGAAATAAAAGGAAAAAATTGAAAAAAATAAGGGAAACGTCAAATATGTAAATAATTTAATAAGCGTGTACGAGTGCCACAGATATTCAGAGTTTAACAGCACATTTACATGTAACACCTTTATGATTGAAGTATGCCAACCTAGACAAATCAGAGGTGTGAAATGGAGGGCTTCTTAGAGGTTTGAGAGTGTCTAGCATAACGAATCAGAGTATGTCAGAGGTCTGTGACGTCATTTCGTATTGTTTGATGCCTTCCATTTGACAATAAAGTTTGACGCTCGGGGGTTCTAGTGATCCTCAGAATTTGTCTGAAGATGCAGTCAGTTCATCTACGGCGTTATTTTGGAATGACGCAAAGACTTTCTACACCTGTTGGGGAAGCTTAGACAAAAAGAGCCTTATAAACGAGCCCATAAAATTTCGGTTGACCGATGACCTCACACATACGTGAGAACATTTCTGTTACTGATCCATGTTGAAGCTCAATGTTGACCAAACTTTTGCCGGTCGGTCAGTTCTCTACATTTGAGAATGGACTTCCTAAGGTTCACTTGTAAACGTACTAGGTGTGACGTACCCGTTAAAATCGCACAGAAGTGCCTTCACTGATGCAAGGAATTGTGCTCGTTCGTCTGTCACGTCGTGTCTGTGGAAATCGGCTTTTGCGTAGCAAAATCAGGCTTCTATATTTTCGAGCTGTCATGGCATAAACTGAGTCTGAAGATGAGTGTAACCTGCATGCAATGATAAGACACTTAAATTGTTCATCAGAAAATGGATGCTACATAAAACTCTCACACTATCTACTAAAGAATACTGCATATGAAAAAAATCAACTTCACATTTCTTAACAGTTCTAAAACAACTACATCGCAAATTGAATTAAAAAGATTGATTAGTAAAATCCTTTGTTAATTTGCGTACAATAGAATCAAAAGAATAATGTTTGGGTTGTTTTGGCGGGATACGGTTCGAATGCTTTCGATGTTCATATGCTCCGAGCTTGCAAAGTAGAATTCGCACCTTTGAATAGTCATCATGATGAAATACCTCAACATGGGAAATATCTTCATACCTCTTGAACTATGGTTCAAATAAAACACGAGCATCAGAATCAAAATGAAAATCGTTCACTCGGTTGATCAGTGATTCGGTAATTAAGTCCCTTTTTTCAGACACCTGCATTGAATTTCCTTGAGTTGGCGACTTTTTTGCCATCATTTCGATCATTTACCATACGTTCTATAGTACCGATAATTGTTATGTCGAGTGGTGATTGGACTGCGACTTCTACGGCTACTGGACCTTCCTCTACACTTGCAGTAGTTGATATTCAAAAATTGGGGCTGGGCTATCAGTTTAATGAGAACTTCGACTGTTCGTCGCAACTCAGTGAACTCGTCAGTTGAGTCTGTTTGTATGTGTAATATCTGGTCAGTCTT